TCACTCACTACATGTAGCTGTATAGTCCGTTTGTTTGTGTTGTTAGTCTTGGCTAGCTAAATGTTCCGGTCGGTAGTTAGCTAGCACTCACTCACATGGCTGCTAGTGCCGTCATGAAAAGGGGCATGAGGGAAACACTACAATATTACGTTTTCTAAGTAAGTGAGAACGCTCAAAAGCAGGCAATTTTGAAAAGTAATGTTTAGACATGTTTTACTTAAATGTCGTTTTGTAATTGACTATAACAGACAACAAGAAAATTGCTTTTGAAAAAGGCCAAGTTTTTGCTGTGAGCCAATGGGATAACCAAGGTAACCATGGGTTGTTTTCCCCCAAGGTGGGCGGGTGCCGCGACGTTCTATCTAATACCGACTGCAAGTATGGCAACAGCTGAAGAACCCTTTTGGAACCCTTTTTTTAAAGAGTGTAGTAGAGGGAGGAGGAGGGGGAGAATAAAGAAGGGAGGGAGAGAGCAAGAGCAGGTGAATTTGTGGTCATGTTTAAGGTTTTGGCAAAGCCTGTTGCCCCCGAATAAGTGTGCAGAGGCCTAAGGTGAACCACAAATTCCTTAAAGGCTGTTTGAGGGATTATAGATGGCGACAGCTCAAATGTGGTGTCCAATATTCTCACCACACACGTAGCAATGTGGAGGGGGCATGCTCTGACTAAAGTAGAGGTTGAAATACCCTTACCTTTATTGTTAACAGTGTTCAATAACTGGTGTTCCATTCTATTTAAAACTAAATCTGGTCTAGAGCAGGTCATGATGACCCTGCTTACGGGAACAAACCATCCCCTCTGCTCTGGCTGGAACAACTCATCTACAACAATTAAAATGAGGTCGGCCAAATTAGGGCCACTTGATTAGAGATGTTTATTCAGGCTAGGTCTAATGGCCGTATGGATACGGTTAGGTTCATGCTATTTCTTATGGCCTTAGGGTTGTTGTGGCCAGTTTACTAATGAGGATCAAATGACTATATCAATTCTCAATGCTCTGATCAGAGACAGCGCTTGTCTTTCTCTCAGCTGAACATCATAGTTCACACATTCAATATAGCACAACTCAGTGTGTTGACTCTTTATGTGTTAACTTTTTATTTCAGGTAATGTTACTTCAGTCCAAAATATTTAAAAAAATTAATGTGACCATTTCTGAAGTTGATGAGGTAATTCCTTCATCCCCCCCTCCTCCTCTCTCTCTCCTTCGCTCACTCTCTCTCTCTTCCTCAGTCTCTGTTAACTCTGAGCATTGGCATGTGAGGAGATAGCAGCCATGGTAAAGGCTATGAGCCCCATCACTACAGACAAGGAGTCACATTACACACAGACCCCCCAGGCTAACCATCCCTTCACACACACACACACACACACACACACACACACACACACACACACACACACACACACACACACACACACACACACACACACACACACACACACACACACACACACACACACACACACACACACACACACACACACACACACACACACACCAAGACCTGCCAGTACAGCCCAATGTGATCCTTTTGAGGTTTCATTTCACAGTATAACAAACACAATTAGCAGTAGTTGCATTCATCCAAATATAACATTGGATAAACAACAACAACATAAACCTAATGACACTCTGACCTGTCAGAGCCGTGATGCTTACATCTGGTCTATAAGAAAGACCAGCAGAAAATAGACCAAGTCGGTCTCTGTGAATCCCCCTGTCAAGACATCACAGAGAGAGAAAGGGGACTTGTGGGTCCTTCCGGGGATACAGTCTGGTACAGGGGACATGCTATGTCATTACACATCTCTCTGTCTTTCATCTGCACGGACTCCTGTCCTCGGTAATGCTGTGTGTGTATGTGTGTGTTCGGGCAAAGAAAGCAGCACTGCCATCACATTTTACAGAGGTATTAGAAAAACCATTCTGCTTAAAGAAAGAAGAAGGCATATGCACTATATTTCTTCAAAAACACCTTAGATACAACATTTGCATCCACAAATATCACATTACGTAAGGGTGTTATCAGAGTTTGCAGGCCTTTAGAGTGTGGCTTCACTCTGGTTGAAGAATGTCCCATTGGTACCAGGTCATTCTCAGTGAGAACCCCTGTACTATGACTTTACCATGATGTATCATCAGTTAGGGAGTCCAGTAGTGATACAGTCACATTATCAATAAACAGGAATTCAAGTTGGCATAATGAATCCCAAGCCTTGAAGAATAACACTGAACATCCCTGCCATAGGCAGACTCACTGTAACTAATGGTTGGTCATAGTTGCATAATAACCTATTACTCTATCAGAGAATCTGAGCAATGTGAGGAACATTATTGCATTTAGAAAAACGTATTTTTATCAGTGTGCTAGAGAGCACAAGAACATGTTGTCATATTTATTTTTGTATGTCTATTAGACAGCCATGGTCATTGCATGTCTGTCATTACCTTATGATATTAAACCAAACACTGCTAGATGGCCGAGATAAGTGATTACAATTGCATACAGTGACCTTCATCATTAAGCAGACATTACAGGCCAGTACTGTACAGTACATACATGTAACTGCATGATTAGAGTAATTTACTAACCTGTCAGCGACAGTACAGTTGACTCAGTATCAAGGCTCCTAACACAGTCGAATGGCTGTGAGCTACTCTCTGTCGTTCTCTCAGAGCAATAGGAAGAGTTGTCCTCTCCCCTCACCTCATCTGTAGCAGTATCCTGACCTTGCTCTGAGCAGATGAAAGATAATATCATGTTTTTCCTGATCTGTGACCCGCTGTTTGATCTCTCCAGCATGAACTATTAGTAAATCATTATTGAAGTATTACTTGTGGGAACAGGGGAGCCTCAAACAGCAAGCGGTTGTTTTATGGCCAGCTGCTGTGCCAAGTTAGATGTCCATAAAATACTCTCCTGTTGAACGAACAGCTAATCAACAGACCATAACAATACTATACGTTTATTGTGAATATATCATATTTGCACAAGAATCAACACCATGTTATAAACATTATTTCTCCTTTTTTCTGTTTCTTTTTTTTTTTTTACAGTAAATATCATTATTGTACAAATGTATACAAAATTGAATCAGGCTAGTCAAGTTCCACAAAAGAGTAAGTCATGTATTAAAGCACAATCAGAGATACCCCAGGGACATGCCTGTACCAGTGCTACATCATGCCCTTGGCGTTATACACACGTCAACACGCGACTCCGATAAACAAGCATGATCCTGAACGCCAAACCAGGTAGTCACAAGATGGCCATGGCAGAAAGGACAAGACTGGCAACAATAGGCCCTGATGAAAAACTACAGAACATGAGCTGTTTGTTCTTCATTTTGGGTTAGGGTTACATGGCTGCTTTTTTATAATGTGTAACTTACAGTGAACTTAACATTTGGTAAGGTTGGGGTAAGAGTGGGGTAAGACTGTTGAAACTGTCTGTGGTAACAGTGCCTGTACCTTGGTCCTCTCCATCATGGCCAAACAGTGACTCATCCATGGTTTGAGGAGCACCCAACATCGAACAGACTCATTCCGTCACATTGCAGCATTTGGACACCAAGCTTTCAGCGTCTCGTTGACAGCACTTAGAGAGCAACACAAAGAAGAAACAAGCAGAAGAAGAAGAAGAAGAAGAAGAAGAAGAAGAAGAAGAATAAGAAACAGTCTTTATATATGCTAATATCATTCTCCAGTTGTCTTTTCACCAGGGCATGTGATACAACTAACTACTGTAGTCTTTTGGAAAGCTTTTCTGTCTTCCACTTTGCTGAAATCCTGAGTCTGGGGATCCAGAGGAAACTAACTTCAGGAGCATATTGTTCTACAGAGGTGGGTTCAAGTCTGGCTGGCAGTCTGAAGGTGAATGAGACTGACACCCAGGCTAGATAGATACCAGCTAGTTACGTAACATAAGAAACATATCTCTGAGCTACTGCTCCTGCTCTACTACTACACATAGCATACTGTACGGCGTGCAACTGGGACACATTGGGACATCATTCCAATGACTCTGGATATATGAATGGGATGTTGACGCTACATAGGCACTAGGAATCTGATGCATCAAATGAAGCTATACTGTATGTGTATCTATAAAGACCTGGGTCAAATGTATAGTGTATTTTCAAACACTTGAGTTGCACTAGATTTCGCTTTCCCGGTGCAATGGAACAGTCCCAAAAGTACAACCATGCACACCCTGTAAGTGAAGCTAAATGAAGCACACCAAAAGTATTTAGAAAGTATTTGGCCCAGGTCATAGATTAATACCCCACGATTGGTAACATGGCCATATCGATATTAAAGTATGATTTGACCCTGCATGTTATCAGAGTATCTTCATTGGCCAAATATCCCCATTACTCTAAGTAGCTTTATTTGGTGTCATAGTTAGTGTTCTTCAGCTCTCTATTGAGTGAACCCTACTCTAGTCTACTGCGTCTATTCACTCACTGCTGGTTGACCTGGAACAGTTGGATTATTGAGAACTTTGCTGTCCATTTCAGTTACAGCGTTCGTTGTCTATATAATTATATTTTTCTAAATATAATAAATATCATAAGCAACAAAAATACAAACAACTACGCCTACACAAATCATTTGCTGTCAGTGAAAAATAATATAATGTTGGCATGAAAGTACAGCCACTCAACCTCCCTCAGATTCAAACCAATACATAGACAATACAGAATTAAAGGGTTCGGTTAGCTCTTACTGTTGCACCATAGAATAGAATAGATTAGAATAGAATATCTCAGGCAATTGAAACATGGTGGAGAAGGTAAGTGAGCGATGAGAGAGCACCCTTTGGCATTGGAGAATGATTGGAGAACAGGAGAGTGACTCCTCTTCCATACTGGCAGTGAGTTAACACATCAGTGATTACGTTCAGAGGATGGAGCGTCAGAAAACAGTCCAATGTAAAACACTGTCTGAGTGAGATGTGAGTGTGTGTGTGTGTATTTGTGTGTTTGTGTAGGGGTCATGAGTGTCGGGGGCCAGTGAGGAGCCACATCAGCAGTAGTTGGAGCCCCAACATGGGCCAGAGGGAGGGGCTTAGAGAGGTCCCGCCCCCACAGTCAGAATCATCCTCCTGTTGGACACAACAAATGTTAATCAGACAGGCAGCCAATCAGATAATTCAAACTAGATTATGTTGCAAATAACAGATTAAACGGGCTGCGTTCAGGAGTGTGCAATATTATAGAAATGTCAGTGTATGTGTGTGTGTCCTCCTCCTGTTTGATGTCAGTGTTCAGGAAATCTGTGCATGCCCTTGGCCTTGGTGTGTGTGTGTATATTTGTGTGTATGTGCGTGTGTGTATGTGTGTCGTACAGTACAGCACATCGTCAAAGGCAGGAAACCCATCTGTTGCTTCCTCTATTTACTAGAGGGAATATAGACTGCAGAGAAATTTCCATAGTTCAGCTGGGGGGAGAGGGCTTTGTCCTACTTTCACTCTGAGTATCTACTGCCGCTGTACAATACCTGTACCTTACATTCCCAGGCCACCCTAAACATCGCTACCGGCCTGCGTGTGTGTGACAGGTCTATTACGGGCAGTACAAAGACTGTGTGTCAGAATAGGCAAGGGAAATACTGTGGGGTATGTTAAATATTTACATGAGTGATGTCAGTATTTTTCAGAGTAGGAGATGATGTCACATTCACAGTAACAGCCTTCTCACCATCAATCACATTCCATTCACAGTAACAGCCTTCTCACCATCAATCACATTCCATTCACAGTAACAGCCTTCTCACCATCAATCACATTCCATTCACAGTAACAGCCTTCTCACCATCAATCACATTCCATTCACATCCACTTTACCCAACAGTACACTATTCACCTGGTGTAGAATTACATGATCAAGTGGTAGATGCCTTTCTTTTGTTCTGGGATTATCCAAGTGTGTTTACGTATTTGATGGAAGTACTAGAAGCCAGGTAGTCATTGATACCACATAGCTAGTAGTGGCTATGTGTAAGGGCTGATTATTAGCAGGTGTCACGACTTCTGCCGAGGCTGCCTCCCCTCCTTGTTCGGGCAGGTTTCGGCGTTCGTCGTCACCAGCTGACTAGCCACTGCCGCTCCATATATCATCATTCCATTTGTCTTGTCTTGTCAATTACACAGACCTGGTTCATATCCCCTCATTAGTCCGTGTATAAGTGTTCCCTCTGCCCCCTTGTCCTTGTGAGTGATTGTTTTATGTGAAGATGAGTGTAGCTCGGTTGAGCTACCCGTACTTTGTATTGCCGGGGTTATTTCTCCCCGTGTGCCTGTATTGTATTCCAGTGCGCCTGTATGACGCCCTGTGCTGTTGACGCTATCCAGCGTAACTGCGTACTAAGGAATAAACTCTGTATTCGGTGATTTACCCTCCTGCGCCAGACTCCTTCAAATCACACTCTCACAGCAGGTTTCAGTTGAGTTAGTAGTTGATGTGTGTAAGGCCTGACTATCAAGAGTGATGGAGTGACACAGGTCTCAGTTCAGTCAATTTAACTCTACCTACATGTACATATTACCTCAATTACCTCGACTAACCTGTGCCCCCACACATTGACTCTGTACCGGTACCCCCTGTATATAGCCTTGCTACTGTTATTTTTTAGTTATCTATTTTTTACTTAACACTTATTTTTCTTAAAACTGCATTGTTGGTTAAGGGCTTGTAAGTAAGCATTTCACTGTAAGGTGTATTCGCCGCATGTGACAAATAAAATTTGATTTGATTTGATTTGATTGAAGGACACTGACCCTGGGCCCAGCATCAACACCTGCAGCAATAGGAGGAAGGGGATGGGACTCAGACCAGAGACACCGCTGATTGGACACAGGGGCTCGTCCTACCATGACAGACATGAGCAGCAGCCAATGGAGATGCAAAATGAAGGATGGAAATTGGAAATAGAAGAAGAGACAAGGAGAAAGAAAAAATGTAAAAGATGAGAATGAGGATTTCATGCTAAAATACGAAATGACAGTTAGTGCCAGTTAATGAAAGTCAGTATAAAGGCTGCAAAAATGCAGGATAATATAACTTAATGAAATATATCAGAAAGATGAGAGAATGAACATGAGAAGACCTGTCATGCAAGCAACCAGTTCATTTGTTTGAACAAAAAAGATCCCTGAGAGCAAAATATATATGTAAAATAGATACAAACTAATTCATGCAATCAGGTAATGAAGAACATTCAAACCAAGAGATAGAGAGAAGGATAGAGAGATAGAGGGACAGATATAGAGAGATAGAGAAAGATACAAAACATTAAGTATTTGTGACTTACGTTTATGTTGTTGTCGAAACACACGTCAGGTCCTTTCCTGTATCTGGGGTTCTGAGCCAGCTCACAGGGGTCTGGACCTTGGGCTGCACACACACTAAGGAAATACTAACAAACTCACACCTACTATAAGTACAATACACACACTCTGATCTTAAATACTGACACATCTTGGTCAAACATACTGTAGATCTCTAACATCTCACACCTTTAACACTCTCCCTTACAAACTCAGACATATCACCCTGTCTGTGGCAGAGTATTACCCATTAACAACTACATAAGACATACTGTATCATCACCATGATTGAACATGACACTGTGATTGGACAGACTCTCTTGCTGATACAGTGGGGAAAAAAAGTATTTAGTCAGCCACCAATTGTGCAAGTTCTCCCACTTAAAAAGATGAGAGAGGCCTGTAATTTTCATCATAGGTACACGTCAACTATGACAGACAAATTGAGGGAAAAAAATCCAGAAAATCACATTGTAGGATTTTTAATGAATTTATTTGCAAATTATGGTGGAAAATAAGTATTTGGTCACCTACAAACAAGCAAGATTTCTGGCTCTCACAGACCTGTAACTTCTTCTTTAAGAGGCTCCTCTGTCCTCCACTCGTTACCTGTATTAATGGCACCTGTTTGAACTTGTTATCAGTATAAAAGACACCTGTCCACAACCTCAAACAGTCACACTCCAAACTTCACTATGGCCAAGACCAAAGAGCTGTCAAAGGACACCAGAAACAAAATTGTAGACCTGCACCAGGCTGGGAAGACTGAATCTGCAATAGGTAAGCAGCTTGGTTTGAAGAAATCAACTGTGGGAGCAATTATTAGGAAATGGAAGACATACAAGACCACTGATAATCTCCCTCGATCTGGGGCTCCACGCAAGATCTCACCCCGTGGGGTCAAAATGATCACAAGAAGGGTGAGCAAAAATCCCAGAACCACACGGGGGGACCTAGTGAATGACCTGCAGAGAGCTGGGACCAAAGTAACAAAGCCTACCATCAGTAACACACTACGCCGCCAGGGACTCATATCCTGCAGTGGAAGACGTGTCCCGCTGCTTAAGCCAGTACATGTCCAGGCCCGTCTGAAGTTTGCTAAAGTGCATTTGGATGATCCAGAAGAGGATTGGGAGAATGTCATATGGTCAGATGAAACCAAAATAAAACTTTTTGGTAAAAACTCAACTCGTCGTGTTTGGAGGACAAAGAATGCTGAGTTGCATCCAAAGAACACCATACCTACTGTGAAGCATGGGGTTGGAAACATCATGCTTTGGGGCTGGTTTTCTGCAAAGGGACCAAGACGACTGATCTGTGTAAAGGAAAGAATGAATGGGGCCATGTATCGTGAGATTTTGAGTGAAAACCTCCTTCCATCAGCAAGGGCATTGAAGATGAAACGTGGCTGGGTCTTTAAGCATGACAATGATCCCAAACACACCGCCCGGGCAACGAAGGAGTGGCTTCTTAAGAAGCATTTCAAGGTCCTGGAGTGGCCTAGCCAGTCTCCAGATCTCAACCCCATAGAAAATCTTTGGAGGGAGTTGAAAGTCCGTGTTGCCCAGCGACAGCCCCAAAACATCACTACTCTAGAGGAGATCTGCATGGAGGAATGGGCCAAAATACCAGCAACAGTGTGTGAATACCTTGTGAAGACTTACAGAAAACGTTTGATCTGTGTCATTGCCAACAAAGGGTATATAACAAAGTATTGAGAAACTTTTGTTATTGACCAAATACTTATTTTCCACCATAATTTGCAAATAAATTCATAAAAAATCCTACAATGTGATTTTCTGAAAAAATAAAATCTCATTTTGTCTGTCATAGTTGATGAATTATGATGAAAATTACAGGCCTCTCTCATCTTTTTAAGTGGGAGAACATGCACAATTGGTGGCTGACTAAATACTTTTTTTCCCCACTGTAAATGGTTTGCAATAGTGGGAGTGTGTACATTTTATAGCTTATCTCGCTGTGTGTGTGTGTTTAGTCCTCATTATCAGCATATTGAGCGGTAATAAACTACAGGCCTCTGGTTTGACCCCTCTCTGACCTCTGACAATGACACTTTTACTGTTACACCAGCAGGAAGCTAAATCCCCAGACACATATGTCTCGTATACACACACACACACACACACACACACACACACACACACACACACACACACACACACACACACACACACACACTTTACAGTGATTCAATGTGGGCTCCAGATGTTCCATTCATACACAGCTTTAGACTTGACTAAACATGACTAGAGTTTTTCACTCCAGCAGTAATACTGACTAAATTAATACAATTGGACTACCATGTGTCCTGCAAATGGATGATGTGTACTACTTATCTATAACCATGTGGTTTCAATACAAAGGCTTGGTATTATGTTGATAATGGTAACAACATGTAGAGAGATACAGCGCTGCTGAGCTTGTGTTACGGATTGTCTAATGTAGAGGTTTGTATGTGGTGTGTGTGTGTGTGTGTGTGTGTGTGTGTGTGTGTGTGTGTGTCGAAGGATACAGGGTTGCTCAGCCTGTCGTAGTGGTCTGGGGTCACAAGACAGACAGGTGGCCTTGGCATCAGTGATCAGAAACACCAGGTTAGTTTTGGGCAGCTTCTCAGCTCGATACATCCTGAAACACACACACACACAATGTGTTAGTAAGCTACTCAGCATTATGCATCATGAAAGGATGAGAGGAGAGGAGAGGAGAGGAGAGAGAGGTGGGAGAGGAGAGGACAGGCGAGGAGAGGAAGAGGAGAGAGGAGAGGAGGGGAATGCTAACCATGTAAACACTTCACAAATGAGAGAACACTTCCCTTCCATTGGAATGTCATATTATTCTTTCAATGGAATTCACTATTATTACAAGAGAGATGGAAGAGGCTCCACCATATTCCAACCCAAACACAAATGGAAAAACACTCCCAACAGACTAACAAAGCTTTCACACAACATGCTCTTTATCTGCCTCAGATGAGAGTAAACCATAAACGCTGCTCGTTCCTGCCGCCCGCGGCATCACACATATGGGCTACCGTGGTGATATACACTATACAGTGCCTTGCAAAAGTATTTATCCCCCTTGGCGCTTTTCCTATTTTGTTGCATGTAATGTTGCTGTAATTTAAATGGATTTTTATTTGGATTTCATATAATGGACATACACAAAATAGTCCAAATTGGTAAAGTGAAATGAAAAAAATAACTTGTTTCAAAAAATTCTAAAAAATAAATTATGGAAAAGTTGTGCGTGCATATGTATTCACCCCCTTTGCTATGAAGCCCCTAAATAAGATCTGGTGCAACCAATTACCTTCAGAAGTCACATAATTAGTTAAATAAAGTCCACCTGTGTGCAATCCAAGTGTCACATGATCTGTCACATGATCTCAGTATATACAGTGGGGAGAACAAGTATTTGAAACACTGCCGATTTTGCAGGTTTTCCTACTTACAAAGCATGTAGAGGTCTGTCATTTTTATCATAGGTACACTTCAACTGTGAGAGACGGAATCTAAAACAAAAATCCAGAAAATCACATTCTATGATTTTTAAGTAATTAATTTGCATTTTATTGCATGACATAAGTATTTGATCACCTACCAACCAGTAAGAATTCCGGTTCTCACAGACCTGTTGGTTTTTCTTTAAGAAGCCCTCCTGTTCTCCACTCATTACCTGTATTAACTGCACCTGTTTGAACTCGTTACCTGTATAAAAGACACCTGTCCACACACTCAATCAAACAGACTCCAACCTCTTCACAATGGCCAAAACTAGAGAGCTGTGTAAGGACATCAGGGATATAATTGTAGACCTGCACAAGGCTGGGATGGGCTACAGGACAATAGGCAAGCAGCTTGGTGAGAAGGCAACAACTGTTGGCGCAATTATTAGAAAATGGAAGAAGTTCAAGATGACGGTCAATCACCATCGGTCTGGGGCTCCATGCAAGATCTCACCTCGTGGGTCATCAATGATCATGAGGAAGGTGAGGGATCAGCCTAGAACTACATGGCAGGACCTGGTCAATGACCTGAAGAGAGCTGGGACCACAGTCTCAAAGAAAACAATTAGTAACACACTACGCCGTCATGGATTAAAATCCTGCAGCACACGCAAGGTCCCCCTACTCAAGCCAGCGCATGTCCAGGCCCGTCTGAAGTTTGCCAATGACCATCTGCATGATCCAGAGGAGGAATGGGAGAAGGTCATGTGGTCTGATGAGACAAAAATATAGCTTTTTGGTCTAAACTCCACTCGCCGTGTTTGGAGGAAGAAGAAGGATGAGTACAACCCCAAGAACACCATCTCAACCGTGAAGCATGGAGGTGGAAACATCATTCTTTGGGGATGCTTTTCTGCAAAGGGGACAGGACGACTGCACCGTATTGAGGGGAGGATGGATGGGGCCATGTATTGCGAGATCTTGGCCAACAACCTCCTTCCCTCAGTAAGAGCATTGAAGATGGGTCGTGGCTGGGGCTTCCAGCATGACAATGACCCGAAACACACAGCCAGGGCAACTAAGGAGTGGCTCCGTAAGAAGCATCTCAAGGTCCTGGAGTGGCCTAGCCAGTCTCCAGACCTGAACCCAATAGAACATCTTTGGAGGGAGCTGAAAGTCCGTATTGCCCAGCGACAGCCCCGAAACCTGAAGGATCTGGAGAAGGTCTGTATGGAGGAGTGGGCCAAAATCCCTGCTGCAGTGTGTACAAACCTGGTCAAGACCTGCAGGAAACGTATGATCTCTGTAATTGCAAACAAAGGTTTCTGTACCAAATATTAAGTTCTGCTTTTCTGATGTATCAAATACTTATGTCATGCAATAAAATGCAAATTAATTACTTAAAAATCATACAATGTGATTTTCTGGATTTTTGTTTTAGATTCCGTCTCTCACAGTTGAAGTGTACCTATGATAAAATGTACAGACCTCTACATGCTTTGCAAGTAGGAAAACCTGCAAAATCGTCAGTGTATCAAATACTTGTTCTCCCCACTGTATACACCTGTTCTGAAAGGCCCCAGAGTCTGCAACACCACAAAGCAAGGGGCACCACCAAGCAAGCGGCACCAGGAAGACCAAGGAGCTCTCCAAACAGGTCAGGGACAAAGTTGTGGAGAAGTACAGATTAGGGTTGGGTTATAAAAAAATATCTGAAACTTTGAACATCCCACGGAGCACCATTAAATCCATTATAAATTTTTTTAAAGAATATGGCTTCACAACAAACCTGCCAAGAGAGGGCCGCCCACCAAAACTCACGGACCAGGCAAGGAGGGCATTAATCAGAGAGGCAACAAAGAGACCAAAGATAACCCTGAAGGAGCTGCAAAGCTCCACAGCGGAGATAGGATTATCTGTCCATAGGACCACTTTAAGCCGTACACTCCACAGAGCTGGCCTTTACGGAAGAGTGGCCAGAAAAAAGCCATTGCTTAAGGAAAGAAATAAGCAAACATGTTTGGTGTTCGCCAAAAGCCATGTGTGGGACTCCCCAAACATATGGAAGAAGGTACTCTGGTCAGATGAGAATAAAATTGAGCTTTTTGGCCATCAAGGAAAACGCTATATCTGGCGCAAACCCAACACCACTCATCACCCCGAGAACACCATCCCCACAGTGAAGCATGGTGATGGCAGCATCATGCTGTTGGGATGTTTTTCATCGGCAGGGACTGGGAAACTGGTCAGAATTGAAGGAATGATGGATTGCGCTAAATACAGGGAAATTCTTGAGGAAAACCGGTTTCAGTCTTCCAGAGTTTGAGACTGGGACGGTGGTTCACCTCCCAGCAGGACAATGACCCTAAGCATACTGCTAAAGCAACACTCGAATGGTTTAAGGGGAAACATTGAAATGTCTTGGAATGGCCTAGTCAAAGACCAGACCTCAATCCAATTGAGAATCTGTGGTATGACTTAAAGATTGCTGTACACCAACGGAACCCATCCAACTTGAAGGAAGCAGTTTTGCCTTGAAGAATGGGGACAAATCCCAGTGGCTAGATGTGCCAAGCTTATAGACACATACCCCAAAATACTTGCAGCTGTAATTGCTGCAAAAGGTGGCTCTACAAAGTATTGACTTTGGGGGGGGGGGGGGGGTGAATAGTTATGAACGCTCAAGTTTTCAGTTTTTTTGTCTTTTTTCTTGTTTGTTTCACCCCAAAAAATATTTTGCATCTTCAAAGTGGTAGGCATGTTGTGTAAATCAAATGATACAAACCCCCCAAAAATCAATTTTACTTCCAGGTTGTAAGGCAACAAAATAGGAAAAATGCCATAGGGGGTGAATACTTTCTCAAGCCACTGTATATACAAAAGTATGTGGACACTCCATCAAAATAGTGGATTCGGCTATTTCAGCCACACCCGTTGCTGACAGGTGTATAAAATAGAGCACACAGCCATGCAATCTCCATAGACAAACATTGGCAGTAGAATGGCCTTACTGAAGAGCTCAGTGACTTTTAACATGGTACCGTCATAGGATGCCACCTTTTCAACTAGTCAGGTCATCAAATGTATGCCCTGCTAGAGCTGCCCCGGTTAACTGTAAGTGCTGTTATTGTGAAGTGGAAACGTCTCGGAGCAACAATGGCTCAGCCGCGAAATGGTAGGCCACACAAGCTCACAGAACAGGACCGCTGAGTGCTGAAGTGTGTAGCGCGTAAAAATTGTCTGTCTTCGGATGCAACACTCAATACCGAGTTCCAAACTGCCTCTGGAAGCAACGTCAGCACAATAACTGTTCGTCGGGAGCTTCATGAAATGGGTTTCCATGGCCGAGCAGCCACACACAAGCCTAAGATCACCATGTGCAATGCCAAGCGTCGGCTGGAGTTGTGTAAAGCTCGCCACTATTGAACTCTGGAGCAGTGGAAACACATTCTCTAGAGTAATGAATCATGCTTCACCATCTGGCAGTCCGATGGACAAATCTGGGTTTGGCGGATGCCAGGAGAACGCTACCTGCCGAATGCATAGTGCCTACTGTAAAGCTTGGTGGAGGAGGAATAATGGTCTGGGTCTGTTCTTCATGCTTTGGGCTAGGCCCCTTAGTTCCAGTGAAGGGAAATCTTAACACTACAGCAGACAATGACATTCTAGGCCAGCCTTTCTTAAAGTATGGGTCGCGTCCCAAAGTGGGTTGCGGACCTGCACAGAGCCCCTTTGTGGCAACAGTTTGGGGAAGGGCCTTTCCTGTTTCAGCATGACAATGCCCCCCATGGACAAAGCGAGGTCCATACAGAAATGGTTTGTTGAGATTGGTGTGGAAGAAATTGACTGGCCTGCACAGAGCCCCTTTGCGACAACAGTTTGAGGAAGGCCCTTTCCTGTTTCAGCATGACAATGCCCCTGTGCACAAAGCGAGGTCCATACAGAAATGGTTTGTAGAGATCGGTGTGGAAGAACTTGACTGGCCTGCACAGAGCCCTGACCTCAACCCCATCAAATACCTTTGGGATGAATTGGAACGCCGACTGCGAGCCAGGCCTAATCGCCCAACATCAGTGCCCGACCTCACTAATGCTGTTGTGGCAAGTCCCCGCAGCAATGTTCCAACATCTAGTGGAAAGCCTTCACAGAAGAGTGAAGGCTGTTATAGCAGCAAAGGGGGGACCAACTCCACAATAATGCCTATGATTTTGGAAGGAGATGTTCGATGAGCAGGTGTCCACATACTTGTGATCATGTAGTGTATATGTGGTTCAGACGAACAAACAGCCAACACTAAATCACACACATGAAGCAACCCTCTCCTCTCGTCTGTGGAATAGCTCTTTCTTTATGGTGCTCGTTAAAGTTTACATGTCTTTAGTCATTAATATTGAGGAGAAAAACGTCAGCCGCATGGGGCTCATATACCTACTGCATTTCTACCCACATTCAGCCCCCACACCACGTGTGAGTTGCAGCACATAAACATGGGAAAAGGTTGGGAGAGGGCTCGCAGTAAACATTGTTTCCCTCTGTGTGTTCAGCTTCTGAAAGATCAATGTAATGTGTGTCTGATCAGAGCCCAGCTGACAGCAGCTGCCTGGAAAGAGCTGGAAAACACAGAGGAGGGCAGGAAATTGACCCCATTCTGGATCTACAACTATCCAGGAAGGAGACAGGAAGGGGAATCTCCCTTATATCACACACACACACACAAACACACACCTGGAGCAGTTTCCACAGTCAAGGACTCCTGAGTAGGATCTCTCTTCGTTGTCGAAGAAGTACTGAGTCTGCTCTGTGATACAGCTCTCCTTAAACATGTTAGCTGACATGTCCTCATCTGAGTCCGCTAGAGAGAGAGAGAGAGAGAGAGAGAGAGAGAGAGAAAGAAAGAAAGAAAGAAAGAAAGAAAGAAAGAAAGAAAGAAAGAAAGAAAGAAAGAAAGAAAGAAAGAAAGAAAGAAAGAAAGAAAGAAAGAAAGAAAGAAAGAAAGAAAGAAAGAAAGAAAGAAAGAAAGAGAAAAATTAGAAAGGAAGAGAGAGAGATAGAGGGAGGGAGAAAAAATTAGAAAGAAAGAGAGAGAGAAAGAGGGAGGGAGAGAGAGAGAAAATCCACTACTGTCACCATACAACCAAAAACACAAATCAACAAACAAGCAAACAAAACACATCTGTGATTACAACTCCTCCAAATAACTACACCAAAGCCCAATGATATTTACTCTATATTAACAGCCATTTTAGCGACAACAAACATATTGTACCTTTATAACTATAAATTCACTGTTGTGGAATCACATAATTACATCCAATATACTGTACCCTAACACTCACCTGCCTCTAGGAAGTTGGGGAATATGAGACCGTAAAAGAGCTGCTGTATTATTGACCTACAGTGACAAACAAACACATTACTGTTGGTCTAAACAGCAGACCATATATAAACAGTAGTTACAGTAACCAGCCCATTAACTCACCAGGCAGCAGTGGAGGCCCACCAGCCTATACTCAGCATGTCTGCTACAGTGGGCTGGAGAGTAGAGAGGAGAGGAGCTTTGAGGGCACAATTCACAACATATGGACAAAATATACGCATACAGTGCCTTCAGAAAGTTTTCAGACCCCTTGACTTTTCCACATTTTGTTACGTTACAGCCTTATTCTAAAATTGATTAAATAAAATAAATGTCATCATCAATCTACACACAATACCCCATAATGACAAAGCGAAAACAGGTTTTTAGAAATGTTTGCAAATGTAAATAAAAACGAAAATACCTTATTTCATAAGTATTCAGACCTTCGCTATGAGACTCGAAATTTTGCTCAGGTACATCCTGTTTCCATTGATCATCCTTGAAATGTTTCTACAACTTGATTGGAGTCCACCTGTGGTAAATTCAATTGTTTGGATATGATTTGGAAAGGCACACACCTGTCTATATAAGGTCCCACAGTTGACAGTGTATGTCAGAGCAAAAACCAAGCCATGAGGTCGAAGGAATTGTCCGTAGAGCTCCGAGACAGGATTGTGTCAAGGCACAGATCTGGGGAAGGGTACCAAAACATTTCTGCAGCATTGAAGGTCCCCAAGAACACAGTGGCCTCCATCATTCTTAAATGGAAGAAATGTAGAACCACCAAGACTCTTCCTAGAGCTGGCCGCCCGGCAAACTGAGCAATCGGGGGAGAAGGGCCTTGGTCGGGGAGGTGACCAAGAACCCGATGGTCACTCTGACAGAGCTCCAGAGCTCTTCTGTGGAGATGGGAGAACCTTCCAGAAGGACAACCATCTCTGCAGCACTCCACCAATCAGGCCTTTATGGTAGAGTGGCCAGACGGAAGCCACTCCTCATTAAAAGGCACATGACAGCCCACTTGGAGTTTGCCTAAAGGCACCTAAATACTCTCAGACCATGAGAAACAAGATTCTCTGATCTGATGAAACTAAGATTGAACTCTTTGGCCTAAATGCCAAGCGTCACGTCTGGAGGAAACCTGGCAACATCCCTACGGTGAAGCATGGTGGTGGCATCATCATGCTGTGGGAATGTTTTTCAGCGGCAGGGACTGGGAGACTAGTCAGGATCGAGGGAAAGATGGAACGGAGCAAAGTACAGAGAGATCCTTGATGAAAACCTGCTCCAGAGCGCTCAGGACCTCAGACTCTGGCAAAGGTTCACCTTCCAACAGGGCAACGACCCTAAGCACACAGCCAAGACAACGCAGGAATGGCTTCGGGACAAGTCTCTGAATGTCTTTGAGTGGCCCAGCCAGAGCCCGGACTTGAACCCGATCGAACATCTTTGGAGAGACCTGAAAACAGCTGTGCAGCAATGCTCCCCATCCAACCTGACAGAGCTTGAGAGGATCTGAAGAGAAGAATGGGAGAAATTCCCCAAATACAAGTGTGCCATGTGTGTAGCGTCATACCCAAGAGGATTCGAGGCTGTGTAAAGTACTGAGTAAAGGGTCTGAATACTTATGTAAATGTGATATTTCCGGGTTATTTTTTTATAAATGTGCTAACATTTATAGAATCCTGGTTTTGCTTTGTCATAATGGGGTATTGTGTGTAGATTGATGAGGGGGAGAAAAACAATTTAATCAATTTTAGAATAAGGCTGTAACGTAACAAAATGTGGAAAAAGTCAAGGGGTCTGAATACTTTCCGAATGCACTGTTTATGTAACATAAGAGGTAACCAAAGTAAAATAATGCATTTATATATGTGTGTGTGCTGTGTGTGTCTCACCACATAGACAGATCGTGGCCCTGCAGCAGCCTTGCTGTCTCTCTCAGGGTCGCAGACTGACTGGTAGTCGTAAGTCTTGTTGAAGGAGTACAGAGACGTGTTGACCAGACTGATCATCACGACTGAGTCCACCTCCCCGAAGAACTGACCAATCTGTATACAGCAAACAGAGAGAGCTGCGTTCAACTACCACACCTACATATTTATTCATAAAGAACTGACTTATCTATACACACTGGGGACAAGGTTGTACTCAACACACCCCACAGACACTAGAGAAGCATTCAACAACCAAAGACACAAAATGGATGCCTGCTCTATGCATTAGAAAGCCTTTGATCCAAAATGAATGGTGGAGGATTGGCACTACCTAATCCAATGTAACTCAGTAGAGCCAAGATATTCCATTCATTTGGATTGAGGCCTGCAGGATTCTCCTAAGGAGTACAGTAGGATATATAAAGCAGATTCAGCATGACTTTAGACCACATGAAATGTATGAAAACATCTGTCCAACTTTGATACAGGGGTGAACTCTCTCTTTAATAGGGGTTAGCATAACAGAGTGGGAACCTCTCCCTTTCTCGCTCTCTCTGATACTGTTCCAGAGACTGTACTCCCGAGTGGCGCAGTGGTCTAAGGCACTGCATCGCAGTGCTAGCTGTGCCACTAGAGATCCTGGTTCGAGTCCAGGCTCTGTCGTAGCCGGCCGTGACCGGGAGACCCATGGGCGGCGCACAATTAGTCCAGCGTCGTCCAAGGTAGGGGAGGGTTTGGCCGGCAGGGATGTGGGTTCGTTTCCCACGGGGGGCCAGTATGAAAACAAAAACATGTATGCATTCACTAACTGTAAGTCGCTCTGGATAAGAGCGTCTGCTAAATGACTTAAATGTAACTATTTACTCTGCTGGAGAAGCAGACTTCTGTGCTACAGGAGGTGTCAAACAAACTCTAACAGGACACAAGGGGCTCAGAACTATGCCATACCCATGTCATAATCATGTCATAAGGCGTATATATGACCTATGTAAGTGAGTGATGGATTGGAGTCATCCAGGTCAGATGGAGAGAGGAACAGGAGAAGAGATCTGGTGGCCAGCCAAACCAATGAACACCTTTTAGTACTCATTCCAACAGGAGTGTCTTGGCTTTAGGACTATGGATGCATGTTCTACTAACTGCAGCATACTGTAGATGCCATTGAGCCATTTTCTCTTAGACCTGTGCTTTAGAGACTTGTTTGTTGTCATGCCAAATATGATATGGCATTGGTATTAATGAGTGTTAGAGACGCAGAGGACAATAAAATAAAATAAAATCATATCTTATCATGATAGTCAGAGGAGTTGGCTAAAAGCACATCCAGATCAGTTCAACAGATTCTATAAGGGCCAGTTTCCTGGAGACAGATTAAGGCTAATCCTCTCCATTGAGCATGTTTTTAGTCCAGGACAAGGCTTAATCTAGGTCTGGGAAACCGTCCTATAGCCAGACAGAATGTTGACCCTGCTCTGGTAGGACAAACATACATGTCTGTGACAGAACAAGCTGATTGGCTGATGGAGACTCACCTGAGTGATATACTCATCCTGATTGGACATCAGCAGGAAGCCTCCATCATCCAGGATTACACAGTCAACGTGCTGCAGAGAGAGAGAAAATCAGTCAGTATAGAACATTATCAACATTTCAAAATATTTTTCATAAGTAAGATAGGCCATAGTACCTTATCATTCTTCAGACAGCCACAGATTTCATCCTTGCACTGCAAACACATCAGAACACAGGGTCACTTGTTGAGCAAACACAATACAGTGAGGGAAAAAAGTATTTGCTGCTGATTTTGTACATTTGCCCAGTGACAAAGAAATGATCAGTCTATAATTTTAATGGTAGGTTTATTTGAACAGTGAGAGACAGAATAACAACAAAAAAATCCAGAAAAACGCATGTCAAAAATGTTATAAATTGATTTGCATTTTAATGAGGGAAATAAGTATTTGACCCCCTCTCAATCAGAAAGATTTCTGGCTCCCAGGTGTCTTTTATAAAGGTAACGAGCTGAGATTAGGAGCACACTCTTAAAGGGAGTCCACACAAGTAATCAATCAATCAGATTCCAAACTCTCCACCATGGCCAAGACCAAAGAGCTCTCCAAGGATGTTAGGGACAAGATTGTAGACCTACACAAGGCTGGAATGGGCTACAAGACCATCGCCAAGCAGCTTGGTGAGAAGGTGACAACAGTTAGTGCGATTATTCGATTATTCGCAAATGGAAGAAACACAAAATAACTGTCAATCTGCCTCGGCCTGGGGCTCCATGCAAGATTTCACCTCGTGGAGTTGCAATGGTCATGAGAACGGTGAAGAATCAGCCCAGAACTACACGGGAGGATCTTGTCAATGATCTGAAGGCAGCTGGGACCATTGTCACCAAGAAAACAATTGGTAATACACGACGCCGTGAAGGACTGAAATCCTGCAGCGCCCGCAAGGTCCTCCTGCTCAAGTAAGCACATATACAGGCCCGTCTGAAGTTTGCCAATTAACATCTGAATGATTCAGAGGAGAACTGGGTGAAAGTGTTGTGGTCAGATTAGACCAAAATCGAGCTCTTTGCCATCAACTCAACTCCCTCCTGAGATGTGTGCAAACCTGGTGGCCAACTACAAGAAACGTCTGACCTCCAGAAACGACAGAACAAATAATGCAACAAATATTGTGGTTAAATTCAAATATACTAATTGACAAAAAACCTTTATTTTTTGACAGAATGTTTAAAAAAGGTATAATCTTCGTAAATGATATCATCGGTAGGACTGGTGGAGTTATGTCGCACATGCAGCTAACAAAAACATATGGAAATGTCTGCTCTACCCAAAATTACAACCAAATAATTGCAGCCTTACCGCAAAAGTGGAAGAGGAAAGTTGAAGGGGAGAAAGTAAGGAACTTGTCTGTCGGCCTTGCATTAAAGAACATAATTGGTTAAGGAAAACTGTGATAAATAAAAAAGTATATCAGTTTCACTTAAGGACCAAAGGATTGACAGCCGTCCCATATAGATTGCAAAATAGTTGGGAAGAGATCTTTGACGTACCGATCCCATGGCATAGTGTTTATGAACTGACACGCAAAACGACACCGGATTCAAAAATTAGAATCTTTCAATTTAAATTATTATATAAAATTCTTGCTACCAATAGAATGTTATTTATATGGGGGATACAATCTTCCCAGCTCTGCAGATTTTGCTGTGAAGAGACAGAATCATTAGATCATTTGTTTTGGTTCTGTCCATTTGTAGCTTGTTTTTGGACACAGGTCCAGGAATGGCTAAAGGATTGCAATATTTACCTGGAACTAACCTTGCAGATAGCATTACTGGGTGATCTGAAAAGTCATAGTCAATCAATCAATAATATAATAATACTTTTAGCAAAAATGTTTATTTTTAATTCACAATCTGTAGAAGCAATGAGAATAGAAAGGTTCAGAACTTTTGTAAAACATCACAGTACGGTTGAAATATATATGGCAAATAGAAATCCTATATGGATGGTGTTAAGAGATAGATGGGAGGTATTGCATAGAGTTGAAGGATGGGACTAATAACAAATAACAACAAATAATAACAAAGATAGCTAATAATGTAAGCATACTGTGTCCATAATAAGTATATAGGTTGTATGTTGGGAGCTTTTGGGAAAGAGCACAGTTAGAAAGATATGGCATTTAGAAGCAAACCGGATGGACATCATGAAAATGATCGGAGAGGTTGAGAGTAGAAGAAGTTCAGGAGCAAAAAAATATATACATATATATATATATATATAGAATTATTGTAAAATTAACTCTGTTCATAAGGTGTAGATAGTAAGTATAGACCGGAAGTAGAGGCCTGGGCGTTGTTGTTCACTAATTTACTCCAAGTAGGGAAAGGATGGTGGGGTTGAAAAGTAATAAAGGGGAATATATATATAAAAAATAAAAATAAAACATGGGGGATTGGAAGTGATGCAGACAATTACATTGATAGAAGATACAATCTATCTGCAATATTAAGCTGATCCATTCCCCCCCCCAAAAAATGAAAAAAGTGATATTTTTTTTTTTTTAAATACAAATAATATAATAAAAATAAAAAGTACCACCAAGTACTAAGTCATGTTTTGCAGAGGGGTCAAATACTTATTTCCCTCATTAAAATGCAAATCAATTAATAACATTTTTGACGTGCGTGTTTTTGGATTTTTTTGTTGTTATTCTGTCTCTCACTGTTCAAATAAACCTACCATTAAAATTATAGACTGATCATGTCTTTGTCAGTGGGCAAACGTACAAAATCAACAGGGGATCAAATACTTTTTTCCCTCACTGTGCTAGTTTCTTAACTATGGGGAAAAGTGTTTCCCTTACGTTGACTTTGATGGTGGCGTTCATGAAGCTGTTCATCCAGGCAGAGACGTTCAGTTTCACTCCCACCACTACAAGACATTAAAACAACACAAAAACATATTCAGAAACACTTTTTTATTGAATAGCCCTTCAGAGAATGATCGATGGATGTTTTATCTAATTCTCCAAGCTGTCAGTTTTACTTCAGAAGTACCCACTGCAACAACTAAGCACCCAGTTCTCATCTATATTATTCGTAGCTGTCTATTTACCACCACAAACCGATGCTGGCACTAAGACCGCACTCAACGAGCTGTATAAGGCCATTAGCAAACAACAAAATGCTCATCCAGAAGCGGCGCTCCTAGTGGCCGGGGACTTTAATGCAGGCAAACTTAAATTTGTTTTACCTCATTTCTACCAGCATGTCACATGTGCAACCCGAGGAAAAAAAACTCTAGACCACCTTTACTCCACACACAGAGACGCATACAAAGCTCTCTCTCGCCCTCCATTTGGCAAATCTGACCATAATGCTATCCTCCTGATTCCTGCTTACAAGCAAAAACTAAAGCAGGAAGTACTAGTGACTTGCTCAATACGGAAGTGGTCAGATGACTCGGATGCTACGCTACAGGACTATTTTGCTAGCACAGACGGGAATATGTTTCGGGATTCATCCAATGGCATTGAGGAGTATACCACCTTAGTCATCGGCTTCATCAATAAGTGCATCGACGACGTTGTCTCCACGTTGACCATACGTACATATCCCAACCATAAGCCATGGATTACAGGCAACATCCGCATCGAGCTAAAGGCTAGAGCTGCCGCTTTCAAGGAACGGGAGACTAATCCGGATGCTTAAAAGGAATCCTGCTACGCCCTCAGACGAACCATCAACCAGGCAAAGCGTCAATACAGGATTACGATTGAATCCTACTAAACACGTTCGTCAGATGTGGCAGGGCTTGAAAACTATTATAGACTACAAAGGGAAACCCAGCCGTGAGTTGCCCAGTGACGCGAGCCTATCAGACGAGCGAAATGCCTTTTATACTAGCTTCGAGGCAAGCAACACTGAAGCATGCATGAGAGCACCAGCTGTTCTGGACGACTGTGTGATAACGCTTTCCGTAGCCGATGTGAGCAAGACCTTTACACAGGTCAACATTCACATGGCCAGACGGATTACCAGGATGTAATACCTACATGTTTCAAGCAGACCACCATAGTCCCTGTGCCCAAGAAAGCGAAGGTAACCTGCCTAAATGACTACCGCCCCATAGCACTCACGTCGGTATCCATGAAGTGCTTTGAAAGGCTGGTCATGGCTCACATCAACACCATCATCCCGGAAACCCTAGACCCACTCCAATTTGCATACTGCCCCAACAGATCCACAGATAACGCAATCTCAATCGCAATCCACACTGCCCTTTCCCACCTGGACAAAAGGAACACCTAAGTGAGAATGCTGTTCATTGACTACAGCTCAGCGTTCAACACCATAGTGCCCACAAAGCTCATCACTAAGCTAAGGACCCTGGAACTAAACACCTCCCTCTGCAACTGGATCCTGGACTTCCTGACTGGCTGCCCCCAGGTGGTAAGGGTAGGCAACAACACGTCTGCAACGCTGATCCTCAACACTGGGGCCCCTCAGCGGTGCGTGCTTAGTCCCTTCCTGTACTCCCTGTTCACCTATGACTGCGTGGCCAAACACGACTCCAACACCATCATTAGGTTTGCTGACAACACAACAGTGGTAGGCCTGATCACCGACAACAATGAGACAGCCTATAGGGAGGAGGTCAGAGACCTGGCAGTGTGGTGCCAGGACAACAACCTCTCCCTCAATGTGAGCAAGACAAAGGAGCTGATCGTGGACTACAGGAAAAGGCGGGCTGAACAGGCCCCCATTAACATCGATGGGGCTGTAGTGGAGCGGGTCGAGAGTTTCAAGTTCCTTGGTGTCCACATCACCAACGAACTGTCATGGTCCAAACACACCAAGACAGTCGTGAAGAGGGCACGACAACACCTTTTCCCCTCAGGAGACTGAAAATATTTGGCATGGGTCCCCAGATCCGCAAAAAGTTCTACAGCTGAACCATCGAGAGCATCCTGACCGGTTGCATCACCGCCTGGTATGGCAACTGCTCATCATCTGACTATAAGGCACTACAGAGGGTAGTGCGCACAGCCCAGTACATCCCTGGGGCCAAGCTTCCTGCCATCCAGGACCTATATAATAGGCGGTGTCAGAGGAAAGCCCAAAGAATTGTCAAAGACTCCAGTCATCCAAGTCATAGACTGTTCTCTCTGCTACCACACAGCAAGCGATACCGGAGCACCAAGTCTAGGACCAAAAGGCTCCTTAACAGCTTCTACCCCCAAGCCATAAGACTGCTGAACAATTAATCAAATGGCCACCCGGTCTATTTACATTATTTTACACTACTGCTACCCGCTGTCTATTATCTACTTTACCCCTATCTACATGTACAAATTACCTCAACTAACCTGTACCCCCGCACATTGACTTGGTACCGCTACAACCTGTATATAGCCTCGTTATTGTTATTTTATTGTGTTACTTTTCATTATTTTTTACTTTAGTTTATTTGGTAAATATTTTCTTAACTCTTTCTTGAACTGCATTGTTGGTTAAGGGCTTGTAAGTAAGCATTTCACTGTAAGGTCTACACCTGTTGTATTCGGCGCATGTGACAAATAAAGTTTGATTTGATTTGATTTCATAAGGTAATGGGGACAGTATTGTCCACTCACCAGCTGGTTTGAGGTTGACTCCATCTATGTTGAGGTCTACAGCCTTGCTCACCAGAATACCTGACTCATAACCTGACTCCCTGCTCTCTGCAACAGAGAGAGAAGGAGGAAGAGGGAGGGAGAGCAGAGGAAAGAGTTTCAACACATTCACATACAGTGACATTTGTTTGACAATGACAGTAATTGTGTGAGGCTTGGTAAGAATCATGTTTGATAAATATAATCTTTGTTTGTTTGGTCTGATGTAACTGGATAAATGTTAATAAAGTATGTGTGGCTTTGCAGTATGAGTACATACTGCAGTATAGTATGAGTGAAAAACGGAATGTTATACTGAGGGGAGACTGGGCTTCTTTAACTAAGAGATCTGGTCTATAGAGTACTGTAATACTACGGGGACATATAGAGAGGGGGAGTGGAAAGTAGCAGAGAGAGAGTTAAAGAAAGAAGTATATCAAAAATTGTGAGTAGAGAGAGAGGGAAGAGAAAGGGGATGGATAGAAGAGGGGGATGGATAGACAGATGAGCGGGAGCAGAGAGAGGGGGGACTAGAGGGCTTCTCATCTCTGGTCTCAGCCAGTAGAGCAAGCCGTTTGTCCCCAGAGAGGTTTGCTGGCAGACCACATTGAGGAGGGGACACCGTTGGATCCCTATGTGTTTGTGTGTGTTTGGTGTGTATGTGTTAACCTACTGTTGAAGTATGGCGCGGTGAAAATATAGATGTCGTTATCCAGAGTCCTCTTGTAGAAACTTGAGTCATAGGTCTCAGCATTCTCTGTCCACTCCTCCCCAGCACTGAAACACACACGAACGCACACACATGTACACGCATACACACAAGCACATTTTTAAGACACAGATGTTTAAAAGATTTTATTCAAATGTAAGGCTACACTTTGATCAAAATAACAGTCACACCCAACGCACTGGAAAAATGACATGGAATTGGTCCAGAGATAAAGAACAAATATGTATGTTTTTTATGAACTTATTTTTACATATTTTCTTCACATGCAATAATAACTCCATTGAAGCCAGTCATAAAAAGCTCTATGCAAAGTTGTTTTCTAACTGGTGATGTGAAAGTTAAATTGCATGTTAGATATATAAATATAAGATAAACCTTTTTACTAAGATCACCCACCTAAATTCAGATATTCTCAACTAATGTTCAACATTTCCTTTGTAAATAAATCACAGAAAGATGCTGAAAACCTCAAATTGTATCTACAAACCTAGTACAAACTGATGTACTCTTAACAATCAACAAGACTGATTTGTAAGGAACTCTGGTCCCATTTGACATCTAGATGATATACATTCTAATGATAAAGATTTTCAGACAGAGAGAAGAGAGAGAGAGATAAAGAAAGAAATATAAAGAGAGAGAGAAAGAGAGAGACAGAGAGACAGCGAGAGACAGCGAGAGAGACAGAGAGAGAGACAGAGAGAGACAGAGAGAGACATAGAGAGGGGAATAGAAAGAGTCCATCTGTACTGAGCACATCTCCAGTGTATGTGAACCATATTGTGGGCTAATGGGCAGTAGGTGATTTGGGAGAACCAACTCTCCATGAAATGTGAAATGAGCCAGCAGAACAGGTTGGGAAGTAAAACAGTATCATATCCAAGCCAAACCATTATACACTTTAAAATAGCTTGTGCATTAGCCAACTCCTACCTGTATTAGTCCGTTGTCATGGCTTCTTACAATAGGAGTTGGCCACAGCACCTACAGTATGGGAGCGGGCTAATCTAACTAACTGGGAAGGAGAAATCTGAGCATACCTTCTTGGATAGACTCTGGTGATCCCTCCATCAGTGGCTACAAACCTAGCCAGAATCCCACCCCTGGGAACAGAAAGAACACGACCAAAACATAAATAGAACTCGACCAAAACAATGGAATTACCATGGAAACGTGTGGGGGAAATGGCAGTGGGGGAAAGATCCCCAATCTCCCCATTGCCCCCCAGCAAAATTAACCTACATTTAGGCTATTGTTTATATGTGTATTTCACACTATGTTGAGGTAAAATTACTATAATGCTTGTATGGATGTCAACCTCAACACGTTCATGTCATCTTAACCAATCAACTGCATTACAGTTCAAAATTGACTGACTACCACCACTGATTTCTGTATACTAGCTATGCTAACCAGCTTATACGAACGGGAGTTAGCATTTAGCAGTCACTTCTTCTAAACCTGAAAAGGGACAACTTCTAAATGTTATGCAGCGAAAACAGCCAAATATCCAAATAAAACTTAAGTAACCACATTGTGGGTTTGTTACAATACATACTGTAAATCATGACGGATTTGACGAATATCCATTTGTTAAAATCTGATTTGTTGAATGTGTACCAATCTGTTCAATGGAACCATTGACCCCATTGACCCATTTACCATATATATATAACAGATGCTCAGGGACCATCTATACCAATCAGAGAGGCATGAGCTAAATATTCCACTGTCTTTGAAGCACATATCTCTCTCCCAGGAAAAATCACTAGTCCATCTGAACAGTGTGTGTCTTGGAGAGGCCTACAGAGAGGCCTACACATCACTGTGTCCAGAACCTTTGAAAACAAATTGTTGTATTCCCAGAGAGTCACTTCTCTTTATGTCCTAATTCTGAATAGAGTTCTTTGTTCAGTAAATTGTTCCTGTTTATGTGAGCATGTGTGTGTATGGCGTGATGAACGCATGTTGATGTAATTACTGTGGTGTCTTCAGAACACACTAAGTCTTGGCATAGCTTGGCATGGCTGGTCCTGTGTCTTTCTTTCATCATACTTTATTGGTAAAACACAAGACTCTCACAGCAACAGACCTAGACATTAGCCTATAGCAGTACTAGCTGCCTGGTGTTTCTCCAATAAGACATCAACAAGATGGGGAATAGACTGACTGTCTATTTAATTCACGTAACTGATTCTCAATGCGTACATGTAGATGATGCATGATGGGCAGTGTGTGTGAGTTTGTGTGTGGCACTCACAATGTCTGCTCCTTCCACAGTTTGACCAGATCAGCGGTCAACCCAGCGTCCAACAGCAGCCTACTGACCAGAGTCACATTACCTAGAGAGGAAGACATTGTTACTGAAGTATCTTCCACAGTAAACCCCTTGGCAAACTGCAAGGATGACACATATAAGTTAAGATGGCTTGAGCTTGCTTAGACAACACAGAGGACATTGCGATCCATTAGCTGACGCTGAGGAAGTTGATGGGATCTCCAGTAGCTGATACCCATTAGATTATGACCACTATAGAGGTTGTGAGTCACATAGTAGCATGACAACATCAGGTTCTAGAAGCTCAGTCGATCAGGATGACATCACCCCCTGGCCAGACTACACTAATCGAATGCCTACCACATTTGATAAGGTTGATGTCATTCCTGGCCAGACCAGACTAATCAAACATCTAATGCCTCTCTCTGACCTTCCCAGGGCTATGGAACACCATAACATCACAGCGGTGAGAAACCCTCCTGACTCCCCCCCACTAACTCCTCCCCCTGGGTGGGTATACTGCCTAGTAATGACTGTATTGATCTAGAGCTTCTTTTTGACCTTGACTGCCTTTTGAATACAACAGGCAGAGGAGATGGAGAGATGGATGGAGGTGTGTGTGTGTGTGTGTGTGTGTGTGTGTGTGTGTGTGTGGGTTGTATGCGTGCCTGCGAGTGTTAAACAGGCATGGTAACTAACATGGCTCTTCCAGTGTGTTCCTGTCAATGAACTGGTTGAAGTCCAGGAGGAACTGGGTGTTGTTGTCGTTGTCCTTCAGGCCTTTGCAGTACTCCCTACAGAAATAGCAGATACTGTATATTAGCTACATTACATCTCAAATTCAACATCTGTACAACATTATACTCCTTTTATAACTTCTCCCTAATGCTACTCCGTGCTCCTCAATGCTGGCAAAAGCTGTGGAATAACCAGCTACTCCTAGCTGTAAGTACACTTCTGGAGTAACAATGGTTCTAAATGGAGGAGGGTGGAGGAGATTCAAATGTGCTGCTGTAGCCACTCACCTGGGGGCGATGAAGGTGTAGCCCAACTCATCAAACATCTCCACCTGCAGAGTATCCATGGCTGAAGAGAATAGAGAGACATCTTTAGAACCTTACACACACTATGGAACCTTAGAATCTCAACACACTCATGGCCTATACTACATATCAGACTGATCATTATGGAAAGAAGAACTGAAAGATGAATGAGTGAAACAAGACATGACAGAAAGAGAGACAGTGATTATGGAGACAAAGTCCTATCCATCTTTAAAGCTTGGTATTGCCACTAGTCTGTCAGCATGACTTGTTATGGCTGTTAGGCCAGTGCACTCTGCTGACTGTCACTGTCAGGCCTTATCTAGAACAGGGCTATCCTTTAACTCACTGATATAGTCCTGGTTCATATCAACCACAGTCTGATCAGAGTGGTGACAGGTCAATGTGTGTCACACATACACACACACACACGTGCATGCGCACACACACACACACATACACACACACACAGTTGAAGTCGGAAGTTTACATACACCTTAGCCAAATACATTTAAACTCAGTTTTTCACAATTCCTGACATTTAATCCTAAACATTCCCTGTCTTAGGTCAGTTAGGATCACCACTTTATTTTAAGAATGTGAAATGTCAGAATAATAGTAGAGAGAATGATTTATTTCAGCTTTTATTTCTTTCATCACATTCCCAGTGGGTCAGAAGTTTACATACACTCAATTAGTATTTGGTAGCATTGCCTTTAAATTGTTTAACTTGGGTCAAACATTTCGGGTAGCCTTCCACAAGCTTCTCACAATACGTTGGGTGAATTTTGGCCCATTCCTCCTGACAGAGCTGGTGTAACTGAGTCAGGTTTGTAGGCCTCCTTGCTCGCACACACTTTTTCAGTTCTGCCCACAAATGTTCTATAGGATTGAGGTCAGGGCTTTGTGATGGCCACTCCAATACCTTGACTTTGTTGTCCTTAAGCCATTTTGCCACAACTTTGGAAATATGCTTGGGGTCATTGTCCATTTGGAAGACCCATTTGCGACCAAGCTTTAACTTCCTGACTGATGTCTTGAGATGTTGCTTCAATATATCCACATACTTTTCCTTCCTCATGATGCCATCTATTTTGTGAAGTGCACCAGTCCCTCCTGCAGCAAAGCACCCCCACAGCATGATGCTGCCACCCCCGTGCTTCACGGTTGGGATGGTGTTCTTCGGCTTGCAAGCAACCCCCTTTTTCCTCCAAACATAACGATGGTCATTATGGCCAAACAGTTCTACTATTGTTTCATCAGACCAGAGGACATTTCTCCAAAAAGTACGATTTCTGTCCTCATGTGCAGTTGCAAACCGTAATCTGCCTTTTTAATGGCGGTTTTGGAGCAGTGGCTTCTTCCTTGCTGAGCGGCCTTTCAGGTTATGTCGATAAAATACTTGTTTTACTGTGGATATAGATACTTGTACCTGTTTCCTCCAGCATCTTCACAAGGTCCTTTGCTGTTGTTCTGGGATTGATTTGCACTTTTTGCACCAAAGTATGTTCATCTCTAGGAGACAGAACGCGTCTCCTTCCTGAGCGGTATGATGGCTGCGTGGTCCCATGGTGTTTATACTTGCGGACTATTGTTTGTACATATGAACGTGGTACCTTTAGGCGTTTGGAAATTGCTCCCAAGGATGAACCAGACTTGTGGAGGTCTACAATTTTTTTTCTGAGGTCTTGGCTGATTTCTTTTGATTTTCCCATGATGTCAAGCAAAGAGGCACTTAGTTTGAAGGTAGGCCTTGAAATACATCCACAGGTACACCTCCAATTGACTCAAATGATGTCAATTAGCCTATCAGAAGCTTCTAAAGCCATGACATCATTTTCAGGAATTTTCCAAGCTGTTTAAAGGCACAGTCAACTTAGTGTATGTAAACTTCTGACCCACTGGAATTGTGATACAGTGAATTATAAGTGAAATAATCTGTCTGTAAACAATTGTTGGAAAAATTACTTGTGTCATGCACAAAGTAGATGTCCTAATCGACTTGCCAAAACTATAGTTTGTTAACAAGAAATTTGTGGAGTGGTTGAAAAACAAGTTTTAATGACTCCAACCTAAGTTTATGTAAACTTCCGACTTCAACTGTATGAGGTGCCGGGTAGACAGGAAGAAAAGGTGTGGAGTGAAACTGAAGTGATGGAACAAGCAGATGAGGGGAAGAAGAATACTTGCCCTTTTGCCCTGTAGTTTCAGCAGAGCGCGAGAGAGAGGGAGCGGGAGAGAAAGAGAGAGAGATGGGGGGGGGGGGGGGGGGGGGGAGTAGAGAGAGGGAGACAGAGAAATAGAGAGAAAACAGAACCATTGGGATTTCAGATGTCTTATCAAATTCATGTTACACCAATATCAGAAGTCTTAAAAGAATGGAAATCTGATCTAAAACAACCACACTATCCAAACTGAGAGGTGCTACCATGCAATAACGTATAGTACATCCACAGTTACTCCAGCACAGTATCTGTCTCTCCTGTTATTCCATGTGACAGGCTTTGGCTTTGGATTTCACTATGTTCTTTCAAATAGAGTTCCTATACTCGTAAAGACATCAATGTCAATCAATCAATCTCTTAAAAGAAGACATCATGAGAAAAACGTCCATTAAATTGAAACAGTCATGCCAGCAGTCTGTGAAACCGTTTACTGATGGTTCAGTATCAAAAGGTTCATGACTATCTGGAGCATAATCAAATAATTTTAATAGCATGTAAAACATGACAGGCAGATTGTGGGACATCTCCTCTAAGGACTGGGCATGGTAGGAATCACATGGACCTCAGCTCTTCTCTCTTTTACTCTCTATCACTATAGATTTGTCATTCATTTTCCCTTCTTTCCTTCCATCTCGTTTTACCTCCTTTTGTTTCGCTCTGTCACCGTGTAGAATTAATATACTTCATCATGCAAACACATACACATGATCATGCAGAGACTGGAGGACAGATAATGAAAAGTGAGTTTACACCAGAAAATAGAGTACTTGCCCCATGGAGCTGTACGGATCCCATTAAGGGGCAGATAGAGAGAGGACATGAGGGGAACATTAAAGTCAACAGAGAGTTGGATAGTTTGTAGAGGTGGATTTATCTTGTACATCAGAGGTACAGTACAGGAACCATGTGATAAAGCCACTATGAGTAGTGATAAACCAGGTCTGGGTAGAGAAAGAGGTGAAGACAGATTAAGTCTAGAGGAAAGCCCTGGAGAACAGTCAGGCTGTGTAAGGTAACATGCCTCCTCTGCCCTCAGATTCAAAGAAAGGGAACAGAGGAACAAGAGATGGAAAAAAAGAGGGGACAGAGGGAGAGAAGGAACAAGGAGAGGGGGTGGGGTGCATCAGAGCTGATGGAGGGAGGGAGGGAGGGAGGGAGGGAGGGAGGGAGGGAGGGAGGGAGGGAGGAGGGAGGGAGGGGAAGTATGTGATCTGGGAAAGGGTGATGGAGAGGGAGAGTAGGGTGGAGGGAGAGAGAGAGAGACTTCAGCTGACTGGACCATGTGGCCACACTATAAAGGAGGAATATTGGCAAAACTCACTGATCTGAGTGAGCAGAGTCGTTGTGGCGTGTTTGTTTTGTGGCTGTGTGCCTGGGTGTGAGTGTGTTCTCACCCATGGCCTGTCTGATGGTGTCTCCCAGTTTTGCCTGTATGTAGTGTTCACTGTAGGTAGGCAGGACCAGAGCCAAGCTGGGGAAATAAAGGTATTGTCATTATACAGGACCCTGTCCTTTCTCTATTGACACACTGAGGGCGAAGCTTGGAAAAACTTGTTCCATCCACAAGGTGACAGAACACTGAACATCTGCATTTAAACACAATTCAGTGGTTGAGAAATGGGTTTTACTGTGATGGAGAGGGACAGAGAGTGCCCCCTACTGGCCTGAACTGATCGTATTCATGAAGTAGAGATCTGAGACCACTGTAACGTTACAGCAAGCTATCCAATCCTTTCAGATCACTACAAGTTTCTAGGGGATAAAGCTAGGGGTTAAAGGTTGTTTCTGGACTGGGTCAACATCTCTCAGTCCTCTTGCTTACCTGTAGTCTGTTCCATTGACCTGAGCCCAGGTGTAAGTTCTTACTCCTCTGTCGATGTACCTCTGTCAGAGAACACACACACACACACACACACACACACACACACACACAAATGTACATACACAGACACAGAAGTGTTAAAACAGTCATAATCCTAAATCGTAAACTACAAATAACTCACTTCCTCCTTAATCATGCACTGATGTCACTAGGAGATGTGTAAGTGAGTATTAATAACAATGTATCTTTCATTTGTGCTGATCTCACCTCATCCTGAGTTTTAACTAGAGTATCTATGGTCTCTTCACCTGGGTTCCCATCTATCATCATTCTCCTGATCTATAGAGAGAGAGAGCGAGAGAGAGAGAGAGAGGACTAATAGCAGATAGATCGAGCGCTTATCTCGAGAGAGCTCGAGATAGAGAGAGAGAGAGATCGCTCGCCTCTCTCTCTCTCGCTCTCGCTATCCAGCCGAGAGAGAGAGATCTCGCCTCTCTATCTCTCTCGCTTCTCTCTCTCTCTCTCTCCTCTCGCTCTCTCTCTTATCTCTCTCTTTTCTCTCTCTCCTTCGCTCATGCATGGTGTGTTGTTGTGTGAGAGAGGGTCTGATCTCTCTACCGTTCTCTCTCTAAAACACAGTGCACATCTGTACAATAGTGAGAGAGAAAGAGGGGAATACCAGGAGATTGGTAGCACATACATATGCTGAACTTCCCTCTTGCAGTGTATATGAAAGAAGCAGGATGAAAGGAGAGGGAGAGACAGACAGAGATGGGGTATCCACTGCTTCTGTAAACATGTCCTCTCATTTATAGCCAGTCACTGTATAAATCACACTCAGTGAGCTTTAGTAGGAGACAGGACACAACTAACACCTGTGTGTGTGTTTACCTGGACTTTGATGTCGTTCTCCAGTTCAGCATCGAGGAAGTCCAGAGTGACAGGCTCCTGGAATTTAGGGTTCTGAGGAGAGGTGAGTGTTTAGTCTGGTGGATGAGTTACCACGATACACACACGCGCACACGCACGCACACACACACACACAGTACCCATAAATAAATGAATTCAATATTTACAAGCCAGTGAATACAGTATAACTATGGAAAGAAACATTGGGTTATTGTAGAAACTTATGCTTGTATATTCAATAGCATGACCTTGTTTGATATCGGTCCCCCTGAAGCATGTTGAGTTGTTACAGTGAGTTGAAACGCAGTAGACCAGGGATCATCAACTAGATTCAGCCGCGGGCTGATTTTTTTCTTGAGCGGATGGTCGGCGGACCGGAACATAATTACAAATAATTTGGAGACTGCAAATTGACCGCAAGAAGCCCAAACAGATATAATGTTTGACTAAAACATAATAACTTCAAACCTTGCTTACATTTGTATACGATCATGTGTCTCTTTTTTTGCGTGGGAATACTTGTGAACAGATTTCTTAAATTAAAATCACTTTGAGCTGTTTTCCTGGTGTTCTTACAGTCTTTCATATGCCAATGAAAATTCAACAACAAAAAACTTGCTCATAAAACTTGGGAGGCCAAACAAAATCACAGCCGCCAGTTGGGAAACTCTGCAGTACACTGTGTGATGTATATTTTTCAGTCATGGGTTCTTAGCATGGCTTCAGGCCATAGAGTACAACTCTGCTCCTTACCCTGTCGCGTTTTACAGTATATACTGTACATTCAGACAAAGAGCCTAGTTTATACAGCTGAGAACCAACTGACCGGAATACTCCAGCTTGTGTGTGTGTGTGTGTGTGTGTGTGTGTGTGTGTTGCGTGCATGCATGATGGTTGAGTCTGTGTGTGTGTGTGTGCCTGTTTGAGTTTTTGTGTGTGTGTGTGTGTGTATGTTTGATACAGACTAATTGTAGACTGTATTAATGTCAGTAGTTACACCCTCCTCCGTGCGTATCAGAGACTGTATAATGTTATAAAGTAGCAGCAGAACTACTCTGTTAAAGCACCAGTAAATGGATGGAACCTGATACTCTGGCTCCTAGCAACACTGCTCTACCTTTAGAATGTATACACTTTATAGAAGGTTCATATGGATTTAGTTCCCACAAAAGCTACATACACACACTGTGATGATGATGATGATGATGATAATGATGATGATGATTAAATTATCCTTACATTGGATGAAGAGAGAAAAGAAAGATGGAACAGTGGAGAAAGAGGAGGAAGATGATGAGGATCTCAGCATGGGAACAAAATACAAATAATAGTTAGAGGCCATAAGATGATACAGAAAATACAAGCACATTAAATAAACAGTACAAAAAATGAAGGAGAGAGGATGAAAGTATAATATACAGAGAAATAGAATAAGCAAGAAAGCAAAAAAAGAAAGAAAGCAAGAAAGAGAGTTGCAAAGTGAGTGGGTGGGGGAGAGAGATCAAAATCCAACACCAAATGTAACGAGGGATTTGTGTGATGAGTATGAAATGGGTTTTCTATTGAACCACAATCACACACAGACAATAACACAAGAACAAGAGAGAAAAGAGAGAATGTGTTCAAAGAGTCCAAGGTCACCCTCCATATTCACACACTCCTCTGTTTCTCTGATCACACATGCACACACGCTTGCACACACACACAGATCATACACAGTAAGATTGACCATGCCCTTTCACTGGAATGCCTTACAGTACTGTACCGGAGGGATTATGGACATGATTTATAAAGCAAGTGTATGATGTGAATATAAATAGGAATTCATGACAATAGTGCACAGATTAATTCATACAGTTTCATGAATTGATCCATCAAGTCCCAGTGAGAAGACATCAGTAGGCAGTACTAGCAAGGGCGCTTCGTAAACACCCTGGCCGCAAGCTTTCTAGGCGAAGCTACTTCTATGACTATTCGCCTCTTCTCATCTCTACTCGATCATCCTCGATAATATCTCTCTCTCGCGTCTGCTCCTCAGCTCGCGATCTCTCTCGCCTCTCTATATGCGTCTACTCTCTCTCTCTCTCTCTCTCTCTCTCTCTCTCTCACGCACGCACGCACACATGCGCACATACACCCAAACTTCTAGATACTGACATGACAGATGGATTAGACGCAAGAAACACTATCTAATAACAACTATTCACTATTATTATCTATTCCTCCCCTACCTACTGAGTATGATGGCTCTAAGGCTACAGTAGCAGGAAAACACTGACCACGCTGTTGTTCAGCAGCAGTGCTTTTACTGATTGGAATGATTAAAAATTCAAAAAGGCGCTCGCACATCTGAGCTATCTTTGTTGCAGGTGCATGGTAACAACAGAATAACATGAAGGAAAAGAGAAACCTGCACACTGCTCTTGCTAGTAATCACTATTTATTATTAAGCTTTACGTATCGGCCTCAAGGCCTTTGTCAGAGCTTATGTGAGTGTTTGTAATTTGCACCCTTATGTAGACATTGCTCCACCCACATCCATTTAGTGCATCGAATGGGGTTGGACTCAAGAAAAAAAAAACTGTACATAAATGTATTAAACACTGATTGGAATGATTGAAAATTACGCTTTGGTTCGTTCAACCTATTCTATTCAATTGATCTGAAATTAAAAAACAAATATGACAGATCAATGGGATTTTTTTAATTGAATGAAAGCTTCTAAAATGCTTTCAACTCCTCATGCACATGCGCATTGAATAGCGATGGGGGCGATATAGCGGTGGCAGCCTATCAGAAGAGTTGGAGGCGTGGCTTATTGGGCTGTGGCTTTCAGTTTGCTATTTTTGTCTACACGAGAAAGTGAATGTCATTACAGTTAATGTGGTCTATTGTATTCGTTATTCAAACTTAAACTTGCCAGTGTCTGTAATGATACTTGCATAAGTGCATGTGATACTAAAGAGCCTGTCAAGTGTTATATGTTAAGGTATCCAATGCTTGGTTACGATATTGTTGCTACTTACTTGTGTAAAGAATATTTTCGGAAACATAATTTTATGTTATTGAACCAACATAATTTCTTGATTTATAGAGAACTTATTTCATTGCGGGTAACCCATAGGTAATTCCATATTAAAAAGTTAACTTGGAACAAGATGAAAACATGGGTTGTATTTACATGAACTATTAGTTTGTATTTGTTATTTATTATTTATTAGGTTTAACCAAAGGGGTAAAGTAAGTTGAGTGCTGAAAGAAATAGGTTGCAACTTAAAATATAGGTTTGGTAATAATCAAATAAAACGGTTGGCATTGAATCATATATTTGGTTTCAACAAATGTGGTATTTTTCAACTGAGAAAACATAACTAATTTACTTGTAACCAGTTTAAGTAATTTTCTTAGGTTGATCCAAGGAGTCATTTTCTAGTGTACCATCACTTTAGTAGATTTTACTGGACACACACACTCCACTCAATGATCTAACAGTTCAAGACCAGCCCTAAGGGCTACTAATCTACATCTATAATATGTTCTACTATAGTACATCTACTATCTATCTATCCTACTCTCTCTCACCTCATGGAACGTGATGGCATATGGCTTATTGAGTCTTGTCTTGCGGTTACGGATCCTTTTCTAACACATACATAATGAGAGAGATGCAGGGAGCATTTCAGTGGGAGACAACATCTCTATTTGATAATAATATGAATTCATTGGCCAGGCACTATTATCTAAATAGAATAAACGTTAACACATACAGTATGTGGCCAGGCGGGACTCAAACCATGACCGTTGCAACCTTCAACAAAAGGGTTGCGTCTGTAGCAAATTTCAGCACGGTTATAATCACATTAGTCACAAGGCCTTCTGATGGCATTCATCTCTGATCCCCTCCCTGTTTCAAACCCTGACTGACACACTTACACACATGGTTCCTCCTTGGGAAACCTATACAACACTGTTCAAGACCTCCAGTCACTTTGAAACGGTTCCCTCTGGAAGAGGCTGCACGCCTTTACACACGAACACCCTGTGTATGCTGTGCATTGGTTAGGGTTAAGTGCCTGTGTGTGTATGTATAGATTGGATCCATGAGTGTGTGTCCATGTTGATTAGTGTTTTAAGGATGTGGCTGGATGAGATGTTAACATGTGTCCCAGGCCTCAGATCCAGAGAGGCCCCCCTCTGAACACAACAAGCCCCAACAGAGTGCCTGCGGGCCTGGGCAACACATGGCCCTCTGCAACCTGTCAAGACCTGGACAGCGGGTGTTGAGGAGGAAGAGGAGATCAGGAGAGGAGGAGAGGAAAGAGGGGAGGAATAGAAGAGGTAGGGAGGAGCAGTCGGTTGTGTTTCTCTAAAGGTGGCTCAGGACCATTATGGTGGCCTGTGGTTAGATATACTGCTACGATCATGTGTGGGTTCATATGAACATGAATAAGATCCACAGCAATCATAGTAGCACCTCAGAATGATCAGTCAACTCTGTATGAGTTGGGATTGTAAGACGTGGTAACATCATAATAGAAGACAGAGGGATAGTACATACCTTAGGTTGGAGGTTGGGGTGTAGCAGCACATATCCATTGGGGTCGATGGCAAAATAATATCCATTAGGTCCGATCTGAGGAGTGGAGGAACAGAGAGGGTTGCAGGAGACAGTTGAACATATTTTGTATACTACAGGGAACATGGATGTCTACTCACTACATCCCTGTTCTGGGTTATTTGAGTATCGATCATAAACATGATTGAGTTCATATGATAGAAGGCAGGGCTGTCAGAGTAAGTCTGTTATTTTCGTGCGAATAATTCGGACCAAAAAAATTAAAAGAGCACGTCTTGTTTATAATAATAATATAATAATATGCCATTTAGCAGACGCTTTTATCCAAAGCGACTTACAGTCATGCGTGCATACATTTTTGTGTATGGGTGGTCCCGGGGATCGAACCCACTACCTTGGCGTTACAAGCGCCGTGCTCTACCAGCTGAGCTACAGAGGACCACATGAAGCTTTTCACACCAATTGCGAAATATCGCCACAATCTGTCAATTATTTATAAGGAACAGGTTAGATTTATGTCTTTTCACATGCGAAAATAAGCTGCAGACCAATATAAATTGTTATCTGGGAAACTGCCACTGACAGGTCCGTGGGTTCGTAGTGTTCATTAATTTCTCTGCCTGGTTTGTCATTTGCAATGCATCAGTGCAGCACCGTATTAAGTTAGTCAATGTGATTACATCACACCAGAGCTATAAACGTCGTTCTCGCCATCAAACTTCCCAGGTTCATTGCCAATGATGTATCCCAGTGATTCCCAAACTTTTTTGGCCCACAACCCCAATTTGATATGAAAATGTTTTTGCAATCCCATAACTGATATAATCAATGGCCAATGTTTACTTTTTTTATTGAGGATATGACAGTATTTTACATAGTCTGACAGTACTTTTGACACTACAATCTGAAGGAAGTATGGTTTACAGTTTTTTCAAACTGCTTACACACGTTTTCAAAACTATGTCTCCTTTTTTCAAAACTCTACACACAATTCCCAGAAATGCACACACAAAATGCAAAATGCCTCACATCTCCTTCAAAATGTAACACTGCATTCAAAATGCCATAAACACATGTCAGAATGAAGCATTTGCATCAAATGGCAAACACTTATTTCATAATAGTAAATTTTTGGATATACCATGTAAACACTGTTGTTCTAAATCTAAAGCTCTTTGGTCTTTCATAGGCTTATATCTACATTACAGTACAATGTTCTACAGTGAAAGTAATCTGCTGAGAGGGGTAACAAGTACACTGTAAACACCAATGCAATGTAGAAACAGAAAATATTTATTAGGCCAAACATCATTGTTGTATACAGTAGCATACAACAAAACCATAAACATATGTAAACCAAAAGTACATTCTTTAGAATCCAGTAAAGAACACAATTGTGTGTGTGGGGTCCCAGGGGGGCAGTCCAGGAATTGGTAGGGGGGGGGGCAGTCACCAGTGCTAAGCTACGCTTCATCCCTTCTCCGGGCTGGGTCTGGCCACAATACTTCGTCCACATCACAAGATACGTTTTCCCTTGCCAAACATCGAGGGAAGTATCTCCTAGCATGGCGTCCTCCATTGCCTGGAGAAGCGGCATGTGGGCATAGGGTTGACGATCATACACTTTCCAGCGCCAGGCTGAGAAGAATTCCTCTATGGGATTTAGAAAAGGTGAATATGGGGGTAGGTACAAAACTACAAATTGTGGATGGGTGGCAAACCAATTTTGGACCAGAACAGCCCGGTGAAAATGAACATTGTCCCATATAACCACAAATCTAGCAGGCTCCTGATCTGGATCAGGGACAAGCATTGTGTAAATTGCATCCAGAAAAGTGAGCATATGGCCGGTGTTGTACGGACCCAGTGTGGCATTGTGATGGAGGACCCCGTTTTGAGTGATGACAGCACACATAATTATATTACCCCCACGCTGTCCAGGGACATTGGTAATTGCCCTCTGTCCTATTACATTTCTTCCGTTTTGGTGAGGTTGAAGCCAACCTCATCCACATAAATAAATTCATGGCGAATTACATGGGCATCCATCTCCAATACTCTCTGTAACAGACAAAAGGATATACAGATGAGTAAATATGGTATGTCTGAAGTACTGGAAGTAGTGTTGCATACATACCTCTACAAAGTCATGTCACAGATTCTTGACTCTGTCAGAGTTTCTCTCAAATGGCACATTGTAAAGTTGTTTCATCGTCACTTGGTGCCGTTGGAGGATGCGTTGTATGGTCGACAGGCTTACAGCATTGATGTTGTTAAATATGGTGTCATTATTCAAGATATGCTCTCTTATCTCTCGATCCTAATTGCATTGTTGGCCAAAACCATATTTATAATTGCAGTCCTCGTCCTCCATGATGTCTTTGCCTTTCCACTCTGTACAGAATTCAAACACAGTATGTGTTCAGCATAGGAACTGTAAACAATGTACAAAAAAATTTAGTACAGCATGATAACCAACCTCATTCATTCAATGCAGTGCAGTAAATGGATGGCTTAGAGTTACAAATGTTTATGCAATACTATGCAGTCATACGTATTTTACAGTACATTACTGTAATGCTAAAATAGTTATTAGATAGTTGCATACCTGTTCTCATTTATGAAGGTTCGAATTATGGACGCCACTGTAAATCGACTCAAGTTGGTCCAGCCTCTCTCATGGTCAAACCGTGGTTGATCACATGATCAACAAATGTTGCCCTAATCTCATCAGAGATGGCTCTCCTTCCTTCTCTTCTTTGCCCTTGTCCTCTTCTTCCTCTTCCTCTTCCTCTTACTCCTCCTCCTCTTCCAACTCTTCGTCTTTGAATTTGTCCTTGTTGTTGTCCCCTGCCTCTCCCTCCTACTCCTCTTGCTCTCTGTCCATTGTTGGCATCCATTGTTCAAAACAGGTAATCTGACCTTTGACCTATTTATAGGCCTATACTACAGTAAATCAGTGATTGGTTAGTGATCAGTTAAGCAATTAGTGTTTGCACATGTGAGGAGTGTGTGTGACCTGGTGAATAAGTGTAGCATTTTGATTGGTTGTGTTTGGAAAAGGAAAGCAAGTCACTTCCTGTTAGATCTTTGTGTTTTAGGTAGAGAATTGTGTGTAGTGTTTTGAAAAAAGTGTTTTATGCAATTGACAACTGAGTCAAAGGCTGAGAAATAGCTTATGTTTTTGGAGATGTTGTGTGTAGTTTTGCACTTTGAGTGAGAGGTTTCAAAAATCGTGTGACATGAAAAGATTTTGTTTGTAAGCAGTTGGAAAAAACTGTAAAGTGACTGAACTGCATAAGAATGGTATTGGAAAGTTCAGAAGATCATCAGACAATACTTTTGTATGATTTTCTGTGTAGAAAATAACATCATCATTAACCACGTTTCCATCCACAGTATTATGGAGTATTTTTAAAAAAAAATCACGATAGCTGTAATGGAAACAGGACTTTCGGTACAATTTTATAAATGCAGACAGATAATTTGTTCGTTCGACATGATGGGATCTTTTTGTGTCTGTAATATTTATTATGCGAGAAATGGTGGTGGAAACGCCTTTATGCGCAAATATTGATATAATAACCATCATATCAAAGTAAACTTGGAGTCACGAGATTATATGGTGTGTGGTCCTCCAACTACGACTCGGGAAACCATGCATTTTATTAGGCTACAGATTAAATAAATGATGATGCACTTCACAGGGTGGTGAAAGTGCACTGTGACCTTGATGCTCCTTTCCAATACATTTCAAGGGTCTTATTCTAGTGACATGATGAGCGATGCTTGACTGCCGTTTGACAAATAAAAATATTATTATCCATAATAATCTCATAATGTAGACTAGCCTACCAGCACAGCCTGTATTTGCAAGCTGTTGGCTATAGCGTACATGCCAAGACCAGAATAGGCACATTTGCTATTTAACACAATAGTTTTTGCGACAGAGCTGAAAATGCGATGGAAACACATTGAACTTTAGATTTTTATTTGGTGCATGAAAACATATGTGAAAAAGTACATTCTGTGTGCACTACATCATCACACACAGATTTGTATCTGCAATAAGTCCATTTGGTGGAAACACACCACTGGTGGGAAAATTGCATATTTACTTTATGCATATTTTAGAATATTCGCATGAAAATCTGTCGCCAATTGGATGGAAACCTAGCTAGTGATGATGTTATTTTCCTCCAGTCTGATTTTGTGCCTGGTCTCGTCCACTATGTTCTAATGAGTCCTGCGCAGCTTGAAGAAAGAAACAGAAGCCATATGTGTCTCTGAGAGTCTTATCTTTCAGTGATGGGGTCATAATATTTTGTAGCTTAAACGGTTCAATAGAAAGAGCCACATTTGTAGGAAGAAAACAGAAACCATTCTGTTTATTACAACTGCATCTAGTGGCTATCGGAGGTTACTAATGTAACCCCGGTTCTATGAACCAAGCACAATTATTTTTATTTTATTTCAGAGTTTCTCTCGAGACCCCTTTTTCAAATCAGGTGACCCCACATGGGGTAAGCCATTCAGCAAGCAAGAGGATTGATCGATGCTTCTCTCCTCTAATAGGCCTAGGCTTATTAGTAAAAAAAAATTGCTTGAAATAACTTTCAAATTACCAGTCAAAAGTTTGGACACATTCAAGGTTTGTCTTTATTTTTTTTTAAATTTTACATTGTAGAATAATAGTGAAGACATCAAAACTATGAAATAACACATATGGAATCATGTAGTAACCAAAAAAGTGTTAAACAAATCAAAATATAGTTTGTATTTGAGATTCTTCAAATAGCCCCCCTTTGCCTTGATGACAGCTTTGCACACTCTTGGCATTCTCTCAGCCAGCTTCATGAGGTAATCACCTGGAATACATTTCAATTAACAGGTGTGCCTTCTTAAAAGTTAATTTGTGGAATTTCTTTCCTTCATAATGCGTTTGGGCCAATGAGTTGTGTTGTGACAAGGTAGGGGGAGTGTACAGAAGAGAGCCCTATTTGGTAAAAGACCAAGTCCATATTTTGGCAAGAACATCTCAAATAAGCAGTCCATCATTTCTTTAAGACATGAAGGTCAGTCAATCTTGAACATTTCAATGGAAATGTGGAAATGTGTCCTTTGGTTTGGAGTCCAAATTGGAGATTTCTGGTTCAAACTGCTGTGTCATTGTGAGACCCGGTGTGGGTGAACGGATGATCTACGCATGTGTAGTTCCCACCGTAAAGCATGAAGGAGGAGGTGTTTTGGTGTGGGGGTGCTTTGCTGGTGACACTGTCTGTGATTTATTTAGAATTTAAGGCACACTTAACCAGCATGGCTACCACAGCATCCTGCAGCGATACGCCATCCCATCTGGTTTGGGCTTAGTGGGACTATCATTTGTTTTTCAACAGGACAATGAGCCAACACACCTCCAGGCTGTGTAAGGGCTATTTTACCAAGAAGGAGAGTGATGAAGTGCTGCATCAGATGACCTGGCCTCCACCTCAACCCAATTGATATGGTTTGGGATGAGTCGGATGGCAGAGTGAAGAAAAAGCAGTCAACAAGTGCTCAGCATATGTGGGAACTCCTTCAAGACTGTTGGAAAAGCATTCCAGGTGAAACTGGTTGAGAGAATGCCAAGAGTGTGCAAAGCTGGCATCAAGGCAAAGGGTGGCTATTTGATGAATCTCAAATATAAAATATATTTTGATTTGTTTAACATTTTCTTGGTTACTACATGATTCCATATGTGTTATTTCATAGTTTTGATGTCTTCACTACAATTCTACAATGTAAAAAATATAAAAATAAAGAAAAACCCTTGAATGAGTAGGTGTGTCCAAACTTTTGACTGGTACTATATATTGCTGCTCTTTTAAGAGCTATGAGGGGGAAGTGATAAACCAGTGGAGTTGCCAGCAGAGATGCGTGAATTGCTCAAGAAGGGTACAGTGAAGTATACAGAGAGATGTGTAAGTTAGAAGTTAATATAGCTATATATAATAGGCCTGCTAAAGGGAATCTAGGCAACCACCTGTGCTATAGGCAACCCTAAAAGGAAGAGACAAAAAACTCTCCGCCTTATCAATAAGTGGTTGTACAAATTTAGATAAAGCACTCAAATTAAAATGTAGTGTCAACATAACCACCCATTGCTTCACTAAAGTTGATCAACGGCTGATCATTAGGCTATAGACAGGTTGCGTGCGTGTGCTTCTATTTTCTAATGGTTGTCAATTTCATCTTCATATAGCCGATATCACAGCTGTCTATATCTCCCCCTTAAAACATTCCTCATCAATTTATATGATAAGCTACATTGATTTAGCATTATCCTATAATGGAGGCTAGTTTTGATATCCTACAGAAAGGATTTGAATCTAAGGCAAGGTTTACGTTTTTGGGAAAGAGGAAATGTGATTTGCTTATGTTTTTGAGTGAGATACGTTGCAGGCGGCTTTGATTGATGGGTCCTTTTAAGTGGGTGGGTGTGCGTTTATGAGTTCGCTAATTCTCTATGTCCATTCAGAAAGTTTCCTAAAATTGGCAGAGCCTGTCTGGAGGGAAAAGTGCATCGGACTTGTTGTGAATGGTTTAGTGTGTCAAAATCAGAATCTGTATTTTTTGGGAATTCGGATGAAAAGACCGAAATGCAGTTGGTGTGAAAAGGACTTAACACTGAGACTGAATTAGGAAAATAAGGAGTGTTATGGTGTGTTAGTGTGTGTGTCACTCACAGTGAAGCGCGGCGTGAGCTTCTTGATGTCATCTAGTGACACGTCAATCCCCATCACCCCTAGGATCAACTGGTTCTGAATCTGACAGAGAGGGAAAGATGCAGGAAGTTCAACATTTTAATTTAAAATTGAACAGTAAGAGTTATGTTGACTTAGAGGCTATTGGTGTCTAATGCTGGGATGGGATTATTTGAAGAAAGAATTGTGTGTTTGTGTGCCTGCTTGCGTGTGAGGATTACCTCTATACCCAAATCATCTTTATACTTGGTCTTGTTGAAGACAGGTAGGGTTCCTGTGATGACCAGACCTAGCTCCTAACACACACAGACAACGAAAGCTAAATTAAAGTAATCGCTGTTGGGTTTCAGAAACCTCCATTGTGGAGGTAGATTTTGGTGGGGTGCATTGTGGGATAGGAGGAAGTGATGTCATACCAGAGCGTCGAGGTAGACATTAGTCCACTGGACCTGCTTAGCGAGCTGGTCAGCTAGAACCATGGGTCTGCCCAGGACATCCAGGTACTCCTAGAACACACACATACACTCTTTTGAATACATTTTAGTCATTTAGCATACACTCTTATCCAGAGCGACTTACAGGAGCAATTAGGGTTAAGTGGCTTGCTCAAGGGCACATTGACAGATTTTTCACCTAGTCGGCTTTCGGTTACTGGCCCAACACTCTTAACCGCTAGGCTACGTGCCGCCGAATACACACCTTTAAGACAAAGTAAACCACATACATGTCTGGAACTAAATGAAACACACACACACACGTTCATGCAGAATGCTTATTATCACCTGAGTGTTGATGCGTATTGCTCCAATAGAGGGAATCTCATAGAAGTATCCTGGGAGAAACAGACAAAGGACTAAGATCAGGACCTTAGCTATCTACATAAGCAGACCCAATATGGAAACTCAAATGATACACAGCACTACCAGTGCTTAATATTTAGTACAAACAAACAACAACAACATTGTATCCTACCTTTATTAGCGCAGGCCATCCACTGGACTGGACCTTTATCATAGTTGTGTTGACCCACTGAGAACGTGAAGATTCGCACCTAGAACACAGAGACATGTGAATCGGTTAAAGACACATCTACATTGAACCGTAAGGTGTGTGATGAAAGTTAACAACTATAGTAGGTACTGTGTCTGAGAGGTTATTATGGGCCATATAATATCAAATGTAACTAGTGAGAAGGACTACTGTTACAGTGTACACAGGGGTTAGTTTGTGAAGGGCTGAGGATGGTGTTACCATGCTCTCTCTACCCCCCATCCTCTCAGTCTCATTTCATGTGCTGAGCAGAGAGAGCAGCTTTAGCTTTGGCAGAGTTGTCATCACACACTTCATATCTGCTACAGGGGATGACTGACAGTAACTGAGACTGATCTGTGTGTGTGTGTCTGCGCGTGTGTGGGTTAGTGTAATGATCATCTGGCCTCCACCTGTATAAACCATAGGATCAGCACACAGAATACTTCCTCAATATCCAACCAACCCATCACTCTGTTTCCCTTCATCATTCAGACCTGCTTTCATATTTACTACTATGAGGGTCACCGACTCAGTGGATTATACATTGTAGTGTGTGTTCACAGTACCTTCTTGTCAGCGTTGTATTTCTGCAGTATGGCCGACGCTCTCTCCTCTCCTCCATCAGTGAACAGCATGATGATCTTGTTACAGTTGGCTCTAGTGATGTTAGTCTGCACAGAGAAATCACGGGTTGCCAATCCTAACATACCTGATTGTGCTTAGGAAGGTACTACTGAGCAGCTGATGACTGAAATCAGGGTTGTAAAAGACTGGAGTAAAATCCTACACACCCAGGAGGTTGTTGGTCACTGGGTTAGAAAGTAGAGAGATACCCGCTATAACCAACAGAGGCCAGTGTCTGATCATAATCTATCATAACAGAAAGAGCAGAGCTCACAGTTGACACTGTATATTTTACATGAAGTATGTACCTGAAACTTCAACGTAAATCCGCTGGGTTGTCATTATACACATGTTGTAACAACTGTGTTATACTTCTAAACAGAGCATAGGGCCTCTTACTGCATAGAGCTGTTCGAAGGCAAACTCAAATCCCTTGGTATAGTTGGTGATGCCTTTAGCAGAGATGTTCTGAACAGCATCCTTCAAGATCTTCTTATTCCTCACGTTGGCCTGGACCAGGTGGTCAAAACACGCTGTGTTATTCACCCTGGTGTTGAACTGGTAGAGGGAGACATATTGAGGTTAGACATTTACGCACACACACAAACACACACACACACACACACACACACACACATACATACACACACACACACATCTTGCCATGACTACTATCATGCAGTGGTAAACAGACACATTCATCAAGTGTTGCAAAGTACTCTGCATCCTCTCAGCTTTATGATCTGGTACCATGGAAACAAGACTCCCTCTTCTAGCACACTCTCATTAGAGTGGAAATACCACACACACATGTGCGCACACACACACAGACACACACACACCGGCCTTGGCATCCAAGTCAACAGATGCTCCAGATTGAGTGCTCTGAGACCTGAGCAGATGTATTGTACCTGTTACAGATATAAGTCAGACTTACTGACACACACCAAAACACTATCACTGTTTTGATCATAGTAATAATATGATGCAGAGATAATAGCCATTGTACAACTGTTGGCTGTATTGTCTTTCTAAACAGTGCTGCAACCCATCAATCTGAACCAATCAATGTGCCTCTGTTAATCAGCCAATGGGGACAGCAGATACATGCATCCATGGAGACTAGCAGAATCTGACTGGGCATGTGCGTGAATGTGTGTGTGTGAGTTTGTGTGTGTGTGAGTGAGTGTGTGCGTGTGTGTGTGTGTGTGTGTGTTTATCTGCATCTGTGTGACAACTTTGATGTTTCTAACTGAGTGACAGAGCCACCACTTAGACTGGAAGGCAATTTCATGGCTTCGCTTGCCTGACATGAAGACTGAGCTTAGGAGACAGCATGGATACACACACACACAAACTATAATGTGATCTTTTATCACCAAATCTATTAAAAGGAGAGGAGAGGAGGGTGAGAAGAAGGGTGGGAGGAAGAGAAAGAAAAAGTATGAGGAAGAAAGGAGAAAGGGAGAGGATGAGAGAGAGGAGGTGTGTAAATGAGACAATATTTATCTTCCATATGGGTCTAATTAATTCATGCTAGGAGATACTTCATAGCCTAATCCAGTGCATCCGACAATTTGGTGGGCATGCTGAGTATTCATGTAGATGAAAACATTTCAAGGGGTAGTATATCCCAGACTTTAGCTGCGCTTGATTGAGCTTGCGTGGCAGAATGGAACCAATGGAAGTGCAAACCCGCCCATCTGGCACTCCAAGGGAGCGTCTGCTAAATGACAAAAATGCAAATATATATACAGTACCAGTCAAAAGTTTGGAAACACCTAATCATTCCAGTTTTTTTTATTTAAAAAAACAACAACTATTTTCTACATTGTAGAATAATAGTGAAGACATCAAAACTATGAAATAACACATATAGAATCATGTAGTAACCAAAAACGTGTTAAACAGATCAAAATATATATATTTTTTGAGATTCTTCAAATAGTCACCCTTTGCCTTGATGACAGCTTTGCACACTCTTGGCATTCTCTCAACCAGCTTCATGAGGTAGTCACCTGGAATACATTTCAATTAACAGGTGTGCCTTCTTAAAAGTTAATTTGTGGAATTTCTTTCCTTCTTAATGCGTTTGAGCCAATCAGTTGTGTTCTGACAAGGTAAGGGGGTTATACAGAAGATAGCCCTATTTGTTAAAAGACAAAATCCATATTAGGGTAAGAACAGCTCAAATTAGCAAAGAGAAACGACAGTCCATCATTACTTTAAGACATGAAGGTCAGTCAATATGGAACATTTCACAGACTTTGAAAGTTTCTTGCAGTCACAAAATCCATCAAGCGCTATGATGAAACTGGCTCTCATGAGGACCGCCACAGGAATGGAAGACCCAGAGTTACCTCTGCTGCAGAGGATACGTACATTAGAGTTACCAGCCTCAGAAATTGCAGCCCAAATAAATGCTTCACAGAGTTCATGTCAAAGACATATCTCAGCATCAACTGTTCAGAGGGGACTGTGTGAATCAGGATTTTATGGTCGAATTACTGCAAAGAAACCACTACTAAAGGACACCAATAAGAAGAAGAGACTTGCTTGGGCCAAGAAACACGAGCAATGGACATTAGACCGGTGGAAATGTGTCCTTTAGTCTGGAGTCATAATTTGAGATTTTTGGTTCCAACCGCCATGTCTTTGTGAGATGCGGTGTGGGTGAATGGATGATCTCCGCATGTGAGGTTCCCACCGTAAAGCATGGAGGAGTAGGTGTTATGGTGTGGGGGTGCTTTGCTGGTGACACTATCTGTGATTTATTTAGAATTCAAGGCACACTTAACCAGCATGGCTACCACAGCATTCTGCAGCGATAAGCCGTCCCATCTGGTTTGGGCTTAGTGGGACTATCATTTGTTTTTCAACAGGACAATGAGCCAACACACCTCCAGGCTGTGTAAGGGCTATTTTACCAAGAAGGAGAGTGACAGAGTGCTGCATCAGATAAATTGGCCTCCACAATCCCCCGACCTCAACCCAATTGAGATGGTTTGGGATGAGTCGGATGGCAGAGTGAAGGAAAAACAGTCAACAAGTGCTCAGCATATGTGGGAACTCCTTCAAGACTGTTAGAAAATCATTCTAGGTGAAGCTGGTTGAGATAATGCCAATGGAGTGCAAAGCTGTCATCAAGGCAAATGGTGGCTATTTGAAGAATCTCAAATATATATAACACTGTGTTGGTTACTACATGATTCCATATGTGTTATTTCATAGTTTTGATGTCTTCACTATTATTCTACAATGAGCACAACTGAGCAAGAGGACAAATACATTAGAGTGTCTAGTTTGAGAAACAGGTGCCTCACAGATCCTCAACTGGCAGCTTCATTAAATAGTACCCGCAAAACACCAGTCTCAACGTCAACAGTGAAGAGGCGACTCCGGGATGCTGACCTTCTAGGCAGAGTTGCAAAGAAAAAGCCATATCTCAGACTGCCCATCTTAATCTTTTTATTGGCCAGTTTGAGATATGGCTTTTTCTTTGCAACTCTGCCTAGGTCAGCATCCCGGAGTCGCCTATTCACTGTTGACGTTGACACTGGTGTTTTGTGGGTACTATTTAATGAAGCTGCCAGTTGAGGACCAATGAGGCTTCTGTTTCTCAAATTAGACACTCTAATGTATTTGTCCTCTTGCTCAGTTGTGCACCGGGGCCTCCCACTCCTCTTTCTATTCTGGTTAGAGCCAGTTTGCGCTGTTCTGTGAAGGGAGTAGTACACAGCGTTGTACGAGATCTTCAGTTTCTTGGCAATTTCTCGCATGGAATTGCCTTCATTTCTGTAATCGAACCCACAATTGCAGTCTCAAGAAGGCCAGTTTTATTGCCACTTTAATCAACACAACAGTTTTTAGCTGTGCTAACATAATTGCGAAATGGTTTTCTAATGATCAATTAGCCTTTTAAAATGATAAACTTGGATTAGCAAACACAACGTGCCATTGGAACACAGGACAGATGGTTGCTGATAATGGGCCTCTGTACGCCTTTGCAGATATTCCATAAAACATCTGCCGATTCCAGCTACAATAGCCATTTACAACATTAACAATGTCTACACTGTATTTCTGATAAATGTTATGTTATTTTAATGGACAAAAAAATTGCTTTTCTTTCGAAAACAAAGACATTTCTAAGTGACCCCAAACTTTTGAACGGTAGTGTATCTACACTGTATATTTTGTATGTCCATTATGAATGCGTTTCAGTGTGTTTGTATGTAATTCCCTTGTTCCCCTGTCATCTTATTAGCTGAGCCCCATGTGTGTGTGTGTGTGTGTGTGTGTGTGTGTGTGTGTGTGGTGTGTGTGTGAGTGAGACAGAGAGAGGAAGAGAGAGAGAGAGAGAGAGAGAGAGAGAGAAGAGAGGAGATACAGAGAGAGAGAGACAGAGAGAGAGAGAGAGAGAGAGGAGAGAGAAGAGAGAGAGAGAGAGAGAAGAGAGAGAGAGAGAGCTCTCTTCTCTCTCTCTCTCCTCTCTCTCTCTCTCTCTCTCTCCTATCTTCTCTCTCTCTCGCTATCTCTCATCTCTCTCTCTCCTCTCTCCTATCTCTCTTCTCTATAGCTATCGCTAATAGCATGTTTTTTGGGTTGGATTACAGATGACACTGAGCAGACAGCTAATCTCTAGTCCCTAATCCCAGCAGAGGCTCTATACAGCCTCCCTGTTCACTTAGACCACAGGACCGCCTAGCTGCAACTGGCTAGCTAGCAACACTGAACTGGCAAGAGAAAAGAGCTGGACACACACACACTAAGACAAAGATATCTGTATTTGTCTGACATCCCAATAACATTAGGGATGTGTGTGTGTCCAAATGTCAGTTTAGTCCCTAGGCTGCTGTTAATGAACAAGGATGTATTGGTAATATTAGAGATGAATTAATTAGTGTCAGGTTACAATACCCACAGGACAGGAGGATGGTGTGTGTGTGTGTGTGTGTGTGTACGCGCTTATGCTGGTATAGTGGTACTAGGGGGACACCATCTGTACCAGTTGATTTAAAGTAATCCAATAACAGATAATGGAAACATATCATTGAACGGCGGGGACTGTGAGGGGACACATAGACACACTGTAACACACACATTCGTTTTTAGTTGTATTGTTTGTATTATTTTTGTTGTTGTATTGTTTGTATATCTTTGTATTAAAAATGTGTGTGACTGTTCTTGTCTATCAGTGTATCATTGCTTTGTTACTTGTCATGTTGTGGGGTTTTTGTGGACCCCAGGAAGAATAGCTGATGCTTCTGCAAAAGTTAATGGGGATCCAAATAAACCAATAGACAATATTCCAGTCTTACATCACCACAGTGTTGGAGACTGAAACTGGTTTCTCAGTGTAAGGCATTCTACACAACTGTAGAATGCCTTACTGTAGACATGGTGCATTCGTGTTGTTAAACATGTGGCATTAACATATTAGTGTTGTTGTCAACCATTGGGTTCAACCAGGGTTATATTGTTCTCAATTGGTTCTAGTTGATTGTAATCTGAGTTCATATTTGAGAGATAAAGAGAGAGAGGAAAGAGAGTGATGGATAAGTATTTCACGTAGTTCTCTGGGGCTGGTGTAGTGGGGGGTTTAACACACACACACACTGAGTGGTCCTGGGTGTACAGGGTAGTTGTGATCCCACTCCCCAAATTGAGCAGAGGGCATTTCATTACTGGCCTGTTTTAAAGAGAGAGGCCAACACTGGAGAAATCCATATTTCATTACTTCTCAACCACCCCCTCTCTCTCTCTCTCTCTCTCTCTCTCTCTCTCTCTCTCTCTCTCTCTCTCTCTCTCTCTCTCTCTCTCTCTCTCTCTCTCAATTAATTAATGTATATTTACTTACATAGACCACGTTGACATAGTCATCATCAGACAGAGTCTCTAGCATCTCACCGACAGAGGTCCTGATCAGCTTCAGAGTCAGACCAGACACACTGCCACTCCTATAGAGACATTTACACAGTTACATTCAAACCACAGAATAAGAATTATGGTCAGACCAGACAACAGGGAGGTACAATACTCTGGTATACTGTACTATGTTTAGATAGTAGGGTATAGTGTTACTGTGCGGTAGTGTAATAGTGAAGTGTGTGTTGTGACTCACGCGTCCACTAGGATCAACATATCCTTGGGTGAGGCAGCTCCCTGAATGTACCTTCACACAGCACATACACACAGAGGTTATACACATACTCACAGTGCATACAATGGTTATGAACTCTTATACATATTTATTTTGCATAGAGAATCTGTTTTCTGGTGTGCATGAATGCATGTGAGAGAGAGAGCGGTTTCTCACCAGGGTCTCCTGCGTACGTCGTACAGGTCAATCTTACTGGGGGTCTTCCGAGCATCCATCCATGGAGAGGCTGGAGAGGACACAGAGTCTGGGTTAACAACAATACTGTACTGTGGAACTGGGTTAGAATCCCTACAATAAACAGTTTACTATCCAAACTGATATATACTTAAATACCCTATTTAACACTGAAACCATGGAACAAATAGTAAAGTAGAATAGTATGAAATGTATGCATTTGTGACAATGTGACTCTTTGATTAAGTCTAACAAAGATGGTTGTTGTTTCATAACGCCTATATGATACACCCACCTGCTACAGTATGAAGTAGAGTTCAGAAACAACCAGTGACTACAACCACTATCATAGACATCCTTTTTAATGCATACAGTCTAGCGCCTATCTAGATTAATGCTTTATGTAAAGGCTTTATATTAAATATAGAAACCATGGAAGAATTGTGACTCTGTTTATATGCTTACAGTATAAACAAACTAGTAGAAACTAGGATACAGTAAGCTACAGGGACACAGTAACTTAACAATGATAATATAGCCTCAATGTGTGTATGTGTGTGTGTGTGTGTGTGTGTGTGTGTGTGTGTGTGTGTGTGTGTGTGTGTGTGTGTGTGTGTGTTTGTTACCTGGGTAGTATCGGGCCAGTCCAGTAGCACTACCAAACACCTGCCAGAGCAGAGTAGGGTCATCCTCTCTGTTCTTCTTAAACACATCCTCCAGCGCCTCCGTCCAGTTCAACTCATTCAGCACGATGGTGGCTACACACACACACACACACACACACAAAACAGATTGATGTTGGATTAAGATTACAATTCACAATGCCACCAACAAATGGATTAATAGTGTGAAAAGAGTAATGTAGAAACATTGCATTTTTACATTTACATGTTTTAGTCTTATCCAGAGTGATTTACAGTTAGTGCATTCATCTTAAACTAGCTAGGTGGGACATCCACATATCACAGTCATAGTAAGTACATTTTCTTCAATAAAGTAGCTATCAGCAAAGTCAAAGCTAGTAAGGGGGGAAAAAAGGAAGTGGAAGTGGTGCGAGGGGGGGTGCTGTGGGATTTTTTAAGATACTGTTTGAAGAGGTAGATGTTCAGGTGCTTTCGGAAGATGGGCAGGGACTCTGCTGTCCTAAATTCAGAGGGAAGCTGGTTCCACCATTGGGGTGCCAGGACAGAGAAGAGCTTGGACTGGGATGAGTGGGAGCTGCCCTCCCATAGGGGTGGTAGGGCCAAGAGACCAGAGGTGGCAGAACATAGTTGAACCCAGTCTGAGCTGTCATATTTAACTAAACACATTCATGAGGAGAGATGAATGATCTGAAAACAGGAGGGGTGTGTGTGCGTGTGTGTGTGTGTTATATTCATGAGCATGCGAGACAGAGGGGTGCAGTGTAAGAGAACTAAGCTAAGCAGAGCACTGAACTGTGTCAACGATTCACAGATACACCAATATGCACACACTCTTACACAAGGATTAGACACACAGACCCGCACACATCTCTCTCTTCTCCATCCATCTTTCTTTCACACAAATGCCAACTCCTTGTCATGCCAAACATGACATTGGCATTAAAACGAACAAACATAGGAGTTGGCTAACGCAAAAACAGATCTTGACAAAACAGTTCCAGATGAAAATGCCTCTATAGAGAGATAAAGCTGCAGACTGGTTCCTCAGACAGGAGATTCATTAACATGCAGACACACGCCCACTCTCCATCCCTCTCCCTCTTCCATCCCTCTCACACTGAAGACATGGGCAAATATTACACCATCTCACCCCCCAAAGCAATAACTGACTGTGTCAAAGGGCTAGCATTTAGTCCTGACTAACTAATTCAACCATTTTTCACTTTACCCCAGGAGACACAGGAACGCCAGCGCGGACGTGTTTAACTATACTTGTGGGGACATTTTGTTAGGGTTATGTAAAATTAGGATTTTGAATGGGACTGAATTGTGTGTCCCCACAAGGTTAGTTATACAATACTGTGTGTGTGTGTGTGTGTGTGTGTGTGTGTGTGTGTGTGTGTGTGTGTGTGTGTGTGTGTGTGTGTGTGTGTGTGTGTGTATAAATAGAGCTATCAGAGAGGTTATCCCAACCCTGACTGAGCTGAGTCATCCACACCACCAGGGAAGAGGCTAACCAGATGAAAAGAACAACATATTGGTCATATCATTCACAATCTATGTCATTATAATCATTAGGGAAGTGCATGAGTAATCGAGTACTTGAGTACTCTAATGAATGTCAAAAATCAATCTTTAACCAGAGATCCACATTTTTTCAAATACGACAAGGCGCTAGACACGGATGCTGTTTCGAGTTTGTGCACATATTATGATGACATTTTGTGAAGTTTTTTTGTTTGTTTTGGACTTCAGTGAGGGGTTTTTCGGCTGTTTGGGTAAACACATGTTTTTCTGGAGGCAAGCCGAAAGTCGGAGCTGAAGTCTACGCCCCTTTGTCGGTCATTCAACAAGAGACGACTCGTTTTCATGCAAACTCTTTCATTGAATAATACTTAAAAACATCTTAGTTAGATGTAAAATTGCGTGACTAAGATCTTATCGGCAAAAACATCAACATTTATGACAGATTTCTTGAGTTATCTTAGATTAATTCTGACTAGTTTGAGGAAGTGTATACTGGCTACGGATTCTCAAAATGGACAAACAGTACTATTGCCACTTTTTTCATGTTTTTCAAGCGAATGTCTTTTAAGGGAGTATGCAACCACTCGTTCGGTTCGGCTAGCCGAGTTCGGCTGGGCGCCAGCCGAACTGAAGCATGCTGACACCTTTAGAGTTCAGAAATCTGCATTTTCAAATCGCAGAACATCAAAAAACTGTGTTTTAAACCATTTCACCTGCGTTTTGATTAGAAGGTCAGTGTTGTTTTTTGCTTCAATAGAGTGATCAGGGGCGTGCAACTATAGTTTTCACTTACAGAAAATACATTCATGCAACACATTCTTCAGAAAAAGCTTCATTGTCATCAGATCACAACAGAAGTGCAACGCTATTTGGCTAGCAGCCACACAAGTAAATGGGCTTACAATTAAAAAGCATGGTCATTATTTGCTAAAACAATGCATGGCCATCATATTTCTAATGGTTATAATAGAAAGAATGTAGCCAGCTACATTTCCTTATCTAATGTTTTGCTTGAAGTTAATCTTGCATTTTACCAGAGAAAAGGAGGCTACACTGAGAAAAGTAGCTACACATCAGTCAGAGCACTGTCTGCTGATAGAAGTTTGTGAATTCTCATCCAAGTGGAGAAGTGCAACTGAAGCACACAATGTGTCTGATGCCGATCAGAAATTACAACTAGCTCCATGACAAATCATATGCTTACCAAACACAAAGAAACATTCTCGGAGCGGGACAAGCAGCAGCAGCAATCACGCATAATATATTTTGCCACTGCAAAGTGCAGCTGTGACGCCTCTAGATCCGAGTAGGTAACTCAGCTCATTATAGTTTAAATTAATGATTCTCAAAGGGCTCTTGTTTTTTATTGACTGAATATATATGGGGCAATTTAGCAATTAGAATTTGTTATCTGTAATGGTTATGATAAATTAGGCATTGTAGCGTGCTGTTGGCATACAGATAAATGCACATATTTATTTCCAGTGCAGGACTTGTGTTCTAAAAATAGATTTTCATTTTCATTCGAGTACTCGAGTACAGTCAAAAAATGTCAAATGCCCATCCCTAATAGTCAGTCACAGTCTAGGCAACTGGTTGCTTAACTTCACCCCAATTGCTTCCCTTCTTTCTCTTAATCTCTCTCTCCCTCCTCTCTGTCCTTCCTCCCTCTCCTGTAGCTCGAGGGTCCACTTATTGCCTGTTTGATGGATAGCCTTCTCTCTCTTGTGTGTGTGTGTGTGTAAAACAGCTTGAGGTTCTGATCCACACTGAGGAGGATATGAGAGGTAGGTGGACTGACACAGGTGGTGAGTGGAGAAGAGAGAAGAGTGATGGATGAGTCCTTTCCTGTGTGTGTGTGTGTGTGTGTGTGTGTGTGTGCGTGCGTGCGTGCGTGCGTGCGTGTGTGTGTGATGGATGCTCTGTTGTGGGAGGGAACAGGCATTATGAATGTAATGACACAGACACAGACAGCTGAGAGACCAGACCGCTGTCACATCACACACACTATGATGAATGGACCACACACACACACACACACACACCTCCATCCATCTTTCCATCTATCTCCTTCTCTCCCCCCCCCACCTCCACCCTCTCTCACACTCTCTCTGAGTGTGTACACGTGTGTGTGTGTGTGAGAGATAGATAGATAGATAGATAGATAGATAGATAGATAGATAGATAGATAGATAGATAGATAGATAGATAGATAGATAGATAGATAGATAGATAGCCTAGATGCATAGCTCCGACTCGCATAGCTCGCTCGCATAACTCAGCTCGTATCCTAGCTCCCTTCGATAGCTAGACTCGATAGTCGATCGCTCGCTCCTGATCAGCCGATCGATCTGTCTCCTGTATTTGGGTGTGACGTGTCTTATTTGTGTGTAAAGAAAACACAATTCATTTGCATATATAGCTACCTCTAGAGTGAGAAAGATAATGAAGCTAGAGCTGCCAGAGCTGTGTGTGTGTGGGGCATCATTATAGAAACATTACATTCATATCTTGCATTGTGGGGATGTGATCTGAATTAATGTGGCTACAGTGGCTGTCTCTCTCTGTGTGATATACAACCACAGTCCACAGACACTCTTATCCAGAGCGACTTACATTATTATTATTTTTTTCATACCCCCTGTGGGAATCGAACCCACAACCCTGGCGTTGCAAACGCCCTGCTCTATCAACTGAGCTACACCCCTGCCGGCCATTCCCTCCCCTACCCTGGACGACGCTGGGCCAATTGCGCGCCGCCCCATGGGTCTCCCGGTCACGGCCGGCTACGACAGAGCCTGGATTCGAACCAGGATCTCTAGTGGCACAGCTAGCACTGCGATGCAGTGCCTTAGACCACTGCGCCACTCAGGAGACATTCCATCTTTGCCTCTTTAAGTTCATAGTTCAGCCACACCTCAGACTATTCCATTGGTTAGTTTGTGCCTAACCAAGGTAATATCAAGTATAACAAACTTATATCAAGTATTACAACATGTCAAATGTTTAGTTCTGCAGCATATTGGGAAAGAAAACACTGCCAATGCTGGAGCATGTTTCTGTAAGTTCAGCGTAGAGGTGACAATAGATGATCAAGAGGGTGAGCCTCAAGATGTTTCTGTATTAGATTGCATGTTTAACATTTTCTAAGGCAGCAATGGGAGCTCTGAATATGGCTCCTGCCCATTAGTGAATTCATAGATTATTTTATGCGCCGTCTCCCTCTCTCTCTCCTTCCCTCTCTCTCCTTCCCTCTCTCCCGCTCATTTGTGAGGTAGATGAGGTGTGGTTTTCCAGCTCTGTTAGTCATGTCTGTTCTAATATTCTCAACATTCTGTTTCTACGTCTCCCATCAGGGACGATGAATACGCACACACACACACACACATTCATCCATCGCTTCCACCAGGAAGGCTGATTTCCTAAATGTGCTGCTCCCTCTCGACTGGAAAATCACATTTTCCCCCCAGAGCGAGGCCAGCCCTGGCCTATTCCTGGAGGCTTTTTGGACTCTGGGTCCAATTGAACAGTTGGAACCTCACTCACGTATGAATCTGCTATCTGGTTGTCGCTCTCTCTCTCTCTCTCGCTCTTGCTCTCTCTCTCTCGCTGTCTGTCTGTCTGTGTGTGTCTGTCTCTGCCTCCGTCTCTCTCTCAGCAGAACAATACTCTACAGAAGAGAAGACCTTGGGTTTTCCAATGTCTTTTTTTTTGTACGAAACATATGCATACAAATGACAGCATACAGATGCAAACAAACATCAATGACATGGGAAACAACATCCACACATGACAGCATGTCCTCTACCTGTTTGCTGCACTCATCCATAATATTTAAAGGGACTCACACGATCACACCCCCATCTCCAGGGTTCGCATCACTCTCTACCACATGGCCTCAAACTGCACAATTTTTTTTCTCTCCATCGCCCACGCACTTTCAACACTTAGATAATAAAGCATTTGACCTTTCCATTGTGTTTCCATTGTGTTCTTGATGAGAAAAGTAGTGTCCAACCCATCGGGTATCTCACTGCACCCTCATATGCCATGGCTTGAAATATGCAGACAGGCAGATTAAAAGTAAATTTACATTGTAATACTTCTGACAGCCAACTTTCTAACTCTGCCCATAACTTTTGGACTTTATAGCATTCTCAGAACGCATGGATTATTGGGTTTTCTGATTTCTATGATTTTGAATAGCAATATTGGTCAGGTCAGCTATGTGTGCCTACTAAACAACCAATCATCTTCCAAGGACATTAAATAAAGCTCTCTCTTTCTCTGCCTCTCTCCCTCTCTAGGTGAGACCCAAACTCATACTATTACCTAGAAGCACATTGGGCTGACACATACTAATTACGGTCCACCAATCACAAGCCTTCCCCAAAGAGAGCGGGAGGAACCAATCCCCGACCGCAGCCAGCAAATAGTCTGGAAAAGGACAAGATACACACACATGCTAGCACCCTAGCTAATGCGGACACCTGTACGCACACACACTAATTTCCCACATGCACCCACTCCCTCTCTGTGTGGTCAGTAGTGGGTAACCTTGGTCCCAGATGCTAACCCAGAAGGCTGAGGGGCATGCTGAAGGAGTGACTCCATCCTGCTGCCTCTCAGTGTGAGGGCTGACACAACACACTACACGCTAATGACCTAGCGCACGCACAAACACGCAAGCAAGTCTAATCACACACATATGAACACACACAGAAAGCAGAAGCACACCCATCAATATTAGACAAAACAGACAGAGCTAATGTCAGAAGGACTCAGGAGAACCAGCATTTAGACAGCAAGTAAATACCAGTGAAAACACAATGCTACCAACCAACCCAAAAGAGCCCCACAGTGGAGGTGTCATAATACCCATTAAACCTAGCGGTCAAACAGGGAAAAAGTCACCTTGCCCTAGAGAGATTTACACGGTTATCAAAACGTCAAGCCAGGGTAAGCCTACACGAAACACAGCCCTCATCTTAAGTGTTTCTAAAATGAATGGTGGAAAAATGATTGGAACCATTTCCTTGTTTGACTGCTAGGTTTTATGGGTATTATGACTTATACTGTGGTACTCTATCACACCAACCAACTAGCAAACCAACTGTACCACATACTGTACCAGTGGAGGCTCCTCAGAGGAGGAAGGTGAGGACCATCTTCCTCAGTGAATTTCATAAAAATGTTTTTTTTTTAATAACATTTAAAAAGTTATCATTTTTTAGATAAAACTATGCTAAATATTATCACGTCACCAAATAATTGATTAAAACACACTATTTTGCAATGAAGGCCTACAGTAGCCTCAACAGCACTCTATAGGGTAGCACCATGGTATAGCCGGAGGACAGCTAGCTTCCGTCCTCCTCTGGGTACATTGACTTCAATACAAATGTGGTGGGTAGTTGACTCAAAGAGAGTGAGAAGACAATAGTTGAACAGTTTTTAACAAATTCATTCGGAAGGAGAAGCAAGAGAGAGATTTTGTTTCTTTTTTTCCCCACTTACTTAGCTAGCAAATGCAGCTAGCTAGTTTAGCCTACTCAAACACCCTACTCAAACAGAGAGATGCTATGTTAGCTAGCTGGCTATGACTATCCAACACAACACTGGAACTCTTCCAAGTTAAGGTAAGCTTTTGGTTTTACTAATTGTAACTGCTTACTGACTGTACACTGTAACTTTACTGAATGATTGTAGCGGGTTTACTAACGCATATAGTGACAACGATGTAGGCTATGTGTAGCAGTTATGATATGGTTTGGCTTGGAAAGGTTTTTTCGCCTGGTCACATACAGCTGATGTGTTGTGCATTGAAATCCACAAGCGAAGGGACAAGGTGAGAGGAGCATAGATGCGTGACGGAATACAACGTGGCTGCTATGAAAGTGAACTGTGTTTACGTGATCAGGAGTGTATTCATTCCGCCGATTCTGTTGAAAAACCTTTCTTAAATGGAAGCAAACGGAACCAAACTGGGATGAACCCACCTGAATTTGTCCAATAGAAACTCTTGTTTGCAACTGTTGAACTAATGATTACACCCTATATCAGCTAGATGCAGGCAAGCATGTGCAAGGGGGTATTGAATGTGTCACTGTCTGACCTGTGTGTTCCTATGTTGTAAACTTTCATTCATAGGCTAGGTTGTGGCAACCTCATGATGGGTATAGGGAAAATGTGAGTATCATGTAGTAGCCTACACCTATCGCTGTTACATTGAACTGTGTGAATGGAATATGAATGACAGTCATCCAATATGCTGTAATAGAAGTAAGGCCATGCTCATGAAAAAAAAAAAAAAGTCCTCCCTCATCTTAAACGGAACTGACCGCCACTGTACTGTACCCTACCCAGTATAGTATCTAGTATATAGTATACATAAGTCCCTTAAATATTATGGATGAGTGCAGACAACAGGGATAGGACATGCTGTCATGTGTGGAAGTTGTCTCCATAGGGAGAATGTTGTATGTCTGAACAATACAGATTATCAATAGAACACTTTCCAAGACCCCAAGGACCTGTATGGCTCAGTTGGTAGAGCATGGCACTTGCAATGCCAGGACTGTGGGTTCAATTCCCAGGGCCACCCATATATAAAATGTATGCACGCATGACTGTAAGTTGCTTTGGATAAAAGCTAAATTGCATATGTTATTATATCATGGTCCTTTTTCAGGTTAAAACACATAAAGAACAAATACAATAATGTTGCTCTACTGTTATGAACAAATATAATAATGTTGCTCTACTGTTATTAAAGGTACCATTTCTCTAGGGATTTGTATGTGTATCGTATCCATGGTTACACTGTGTATGTACGTGTACTCACAGCCATCGTAGATGTCAGTAGGGATGTGGACAGCAGTGTGGTTGTGAGAGGTGAGGCGTTTAAACAGCATATCTTCCTTAAAGGCTGGCCTGATCCGGTTCTTCCTACCCTCTGTCTCATTCACCTCCAACTAGGGGAGAGGAGAAGAGAGGGGAAAAGGAGTGTGTCAGACAGTGATTTAGAACAGACAACCTATGTCCACTGTTAGACTGTCTGGATCTGTATGTAACAGGGAGCCTAATAGATTAGATTTACATGTCCATTTCTATCAGGATACTGTGCTAAACAGCTGTCCATCATTAGATGCCTGTGTAGTGGTTCTATACTACACTGGTTAAGAGGAAGTAATGCTGTGGAGTAAGCTGGGTTAAACCGGCCTCAGCTTCAAGGCTAAAACTGCCTGTACCAACCTCTGTGGATTAACATGACACATGTCTTCCTCATACAGCCTACTATTAAAGGAGAGGAGACACAGCTTGATGGATATCTCCAATAGTGCGTTCACCAATTCACATCAATGGGAGAGAGGGAGAGGGACAGAGAGATTAGGGAGAACGAGAGAGAGAGAGAGAGAGAGAGAGAGAGAGAGAGAGAGAGAGAGAGAGAGAGAGAGGAGTCGAGAGAGAGAGAGAGAGAGGAGACGAGAGAGAGAGAGAGAGAGAGAGAGAGAGAGAGAGATAGAGAGAGATAGAAGAGGGGAAGGGGAATAGGAAGAGTCTCATAATAAAGCAACAGTTGCAGCTCATACATCTCAGCTGTCAATTAGTAGAAGCACACCAGGGACCTCTTCACCTGAGAGAAAGGAGGAGGAGGGGGAAAGGGGTGTTAAGACAGGAAGGGAGAGAGGAGGGGAGAGAGGGAGGGAGAGAGGGAGGTGTGAGGGATGAAGGAGAGCAAAGAGGGTTGGGAAAAGAAGGAGAGCAAAGAGGGTTGACAGGGACAGGAAAAGAGTGAGAGTGAGAAAGAGAATGAGAAAGAAAGAGAGGGGGGGGGGGCTGTCCTAGACCAAACCACCAGTCTGTATCTGAGATTGTGGGTTGATTATAGATTCAGCTCTATGTGAGAATCATGTGTTAGAGAAGGAAGAAAAATACTCACATTGTCCTTTGCATTGTAGTAAACAATGTCACCATCCTGAAACAAATAATACAAATATCTTAGTGAGCATGTGTGTGTGTGTGTGTGTGTGTGTGTGTGTGTGTGTGTGTGTGTGTGTGTGTGTGTGTATGTGTGTGTGTGTGTGTGTGTGTGTGTGTGTGTGTGTGTGTGTGTGTGTGTGTGTGTGTGTGTGTGTGCGTGTATGTATGTGTGTAAGTGTATTTGAGAGAGAGAGAGAAAGAAAGAGAGAGAGAGGTACTTAGGTAGAGGCCATCTGTGGACATACGTGGTTTAATGGCCCATAATATGGAATGAATGATAACAGTTCATTTTTTAACATCAACAAACCATATTGGTCTTGTTCAACTATTAAACAGGATGAATGTGTGTGTGAGTGAGTGCATGTATGTGTGTCTTTGTATGTGTGTGTGATTGTGTGTGTGTGTGTACAGTGTTTACCCTTTATTAATTTAGCTAACCCCGCTAACTTGCCACCACTGCTGAAGAAAATCCTAGGGGAAACACTGGTGTGTGTGTTGAAACCCTATCTTCCCTCCTCTCTAGCCCATAAAGAGAGCAGTGAGAGAACACCATGTACAGTAAGGTCATCTGAGGTTGCCGTCTCTCAGCCAATGAGTAGTGAGTGTTCCAGTACTAAACAGCTGACACACATCGGCCACATTCTTACTACACATTGGTGATGGGCGGGGCGAGTTACACCTACAGTATATCATGTAAATGTAATGTTGGTTATAAGTAGAATCAGAGTTTTACCGCATACTCATCCTTCCACTGGTGTTCCATCTGGAAGTTCTCAGCAGCTGTGGCCAGAGTCTAGAAGAGACAAAGATAACATGTAAAAAAAAACGTATAATTTACATATCTCGGTAACACTTAATTTTGAGTCAATCTGTAGATACAGTGTTACCCATATGTTTGACACATTCAAATGAAAAGGGGCGTATTTCAATATGGAAACATCATTAAAGAGATTCTCTGGTACCTTTGTATACTTTTTTGCCAGTAGTTCTGAAAGCAGCGCTCACAAGCCAGAAAATTGAGTAATACGTCACATATGTGCAGATATGTGCACCATGTCATTGATCTCTCTCTCGTTCTGCTGAGTGTGCGTCTTGCTAGCTGTCACTCAAATGGCGAGGGGCTGAAGCTTATTGGCTAGAACTCAAATTGCTAGGGGGCTGGCCCACGTGGAGGGACATTTAGGGAAAATGGAGCAGTACAGCTTCCAGAAAAACGGTCCCTTTCAAACTAGGGATCTTGTGGCTAATTGAGGTAAGACAGTAATTCTGCTCGTAGAGTAGGCATGTATGAACTACACATTGATACATCCAGCCCCAAGCAGGAGGTTTAAAAAATACTTAGTCATCAAAGTCATGGAGCATGTCTTTAAATGGAAAGATACTATGGCTTGCACTGCATATAGCTACTATATTAAAATGCAGTATATGTACAAAACCCATTGTACCACAGCATTAGGCTTATATGATAGCTCAGTTCTTTAGGCACTGCCATCTCAGGCCTCAGCTTTAAAGGTAACCTGACTCTTGAGTATTCTAAAGAGACATTCATACAGAGATATATGGACATTGACACATTCCAGTCCAGTCAGAGGGAGCCTAGTTCTTTAGTTTAGTGAATCAGATAGAGGAAAGAGAGTAACAGTCTCATATAGTGCTGAGACTCATAGGGTCATGATTTAAAGGTCACACACTTCACCAGGGAGAGAAGGAGCTGCAGCACTCTACAGAAAGTCAAGAGGGTGTGTGTGTGTCTCAGCTCATAGTAGATAATCAAGAGGGAGGGATTACTATCTGAAGAGCTGTCAATCAAAGTAAAACACCAGAGACGATATAACGACAGTCACCTCCACACACTCCTGTCTCACTCACTCTGACACACACAAGTGGGTAATATAATCTCTGTTTCCAGCTACTGTATGACGGTGGCCATGCCAAGACAGAGATCACATCACATGCAGATCACCTTTATTTAAACTCCACAACATGATACTGAGAGAGAGAGAGAAAGATATTGCTTTCCTCTCCATTACGATCCCCCTATTTGGCCCCAAACACACTTTGCAAATGTTTGTTCATGTTGCTAACGTTTTCAAGCAAATTCCTATCGCTTAACATGACCCACAGTTGTTATATAATAGATCACGTTGAGTAGAAATGTTTACATTGTTTAGTAGCGTTTAAAGTTACATTGAATCGGCGACCTGTACTCACCACTGCGCGCCAGTCACGTGCAAATAAAAATCTATCCAGCATGGGGAAAAACACACTCAGTAACCTAATTAATGTTCTAGCCTTTGTTGAGGGGTGTTTTCCTAATATCTTTATTGTTGAATATTTTTGTGATATGTTCTGATATGTTTACATTTATTATGTATTGGCCATTGAAATTATAATACCTGTTTAGGTCCATTTTGGATCATTCCAGTGTTAGGGGTTAGGAAATACTGCCTAAAGAAATGATGGGCCAGTGTATCATGGGCTTCAGATTGGAGTGACATGTTGTCCCAGTGCTCGGCTGTGTGAGGAGTTATTGACACTGTCATAGTTATAGGCACTCTGCCTATTTTGAAGGCGTTCTCCCAAGAAGTCAGAGAATTGTCCATTTCAATTATCTATAATGTATTACTTTTAGCAGACACTTTTATCTAAAGCAACTTGTGTGCATACGTTTTCATATGGGTGTCCCCAGCAGGATCCTTGGTGTTGCAAGCAACATGCTCTACCAACTGAGCCACACAGGACCACTGTTATTTTAAAAGTCTACATTTATATTTCACCGTTTGTCTTGTAAAAATCCATGGGTCTAGCTCACCTTCTGAACCTGTAAATAAATGCCACCATTTTGCACCTGATTCCGTCTGACTGGTGCTTCGCACCCCTCTGACAAGACCGTATGGAGAGAGAGAGAGAGAGAGGGGTAATGTAGATAGAGAAATGTAAGGTGCATGTGGTGTAAGAGTTGAGAAGATGACCCAGTATAACACCCTCCAGACAGTCCAGACTAACTGTAATAGGCTGATGGTGGGTAAAGTGATCCTTGCTGAGAGGATGTGTTCCAGTCTGGGGTGTGGTGTTCCAGTCTGTGGGCCTTAACTACATCCACCTGCCACGCATAAGGTCACCTGACAGCCCCAAGTCATCAACGGGAAGACCAGCACCCTAGTTAGTATATAATAGATACAGTATATTAGCATCTGCCAAATGACACAACTGCTAGGTGCATGTGTAACTGTAAGTTGCTATGGATATGATGTGTCTGTGGAATGACATGGTATTAGGGTTGTGTTTGAGTGTGTGCGTCTGCTTGTGTGTGTGTGTGTGTGTGTGTGTGTTTACCCTGCCATAGGTGTAAGATTAAAATGTATCTGTGTGTGTCCAGGAAAAAGGAAACACTGTCACGCTCCTAATTAGAAAAGTAAGACTATAACAATTAGTTGCAGCAGTAACAACCCCCCCTCTCCTTCCAACCCACCCTGCTCTCCTGAAGTCCTAGGCTGAGTTCTAGACATGGTTCTGTTTCCACCTCCTCTGTACAAGCTGTGAGGAGCTATAAACACACAGAACTCCCGACACCGGCACAAATACACATGCAAATATGCACACACGTACATACACTGACGTACATACACACATACGTGAATACACACTGTACAAATATGTCTCCCTCCATTCAGACCTCCCATCCATCTCCTCCCTTCATACTAGATCACCGGTCCTGTGTCTATGTGATGTGTAAGGATAAGATCAACGACACCAGGTCATAATAATGTTTCATACATCCCAAGAGATCTAGGTAATAGAACATACAGACAAATACAGAGCCAGTAATATGGCTGAATGAGCTATGATCAACAATAAAGCTACAGTCACAGCATACACACACACACACACATACACACACACACACATCTTCTGAGAGTGCAGATCGACAGGAGCGTTAAAAATTCATGACAGGGTTTTGACGAGGCTCCTCTCCCCTAGAGGGAAGAAGGGGAGAAGGGGGAGGCGGGGAGAGGAGAGATCTAATTACACCTCTTCTTTTTTTTCTTTTTTTTACCTACCTCTCTCTCTCTCTCTCTCTCTCTCTCTCTCTCCCTCTCCCTCCCTCTCTCCCTCTCTCTCCCTCTCCCTCCCTCCCTCCCTCTCTGTCTGTCTCTCTATGTCTGTCTCTCTATGTCTGTCTCTCTCTGTCTGTCTGTCTGTCTCTGTCTCTCTCTGTCTGTCTCTGTCTCTCTCTCTAACAGACAGGAACTCAGAGGGTTATACATGTAACATTTAAGTCATTTAGCAGACGCTCTTATCCGGAGCGACATACAGATTGGTGCATTCAACTTAGGATAGCCAGTGGGACAACCACCTTCTTTTTTGGGGGGGGGGGGGGGGGGGGGGGGGGGGGGGGGGGGTAGAAGGATTACTTTTATACTATTCCAGGTACTCCTTAAAGAGGTAGGGTTTCAAGTGTCTCCGGAAGGTGGTCAGTGACTCGGCCGCTGTCCTGGCATCGTGGGGGAGCTTGTTCCACCATTGGGGTGCCACGTAGTGCCCTCGTTTGGGTGTAGGGTCTGATCAGAGCCTGAAGGTAAGGAGGTGCCGTTCCCCTCACAGCTCCGTAAGCAAGCACCATGGTTTTGTAGTAGATGCGAGCTTCAACTGGAAGCCAGTGGAGTGTGCGGAGGAGTAGGGTGACATGAGAGAACTTGGGAAGGTTGATCACCAGATGGGCTGCAGCGTTCTGGATAAGTTGTAGGTGTTTAATGGCACAGGCAGGGATCTCAGCCAACAGCGAGTTGCAATAATCCAGACGAGAGATGACAAGTGCCTGGATTAGGACCTGTGCCGCTTTCTGTGTAAAGTAGGGTCGTACTCTGCGAATGTTGTAGAGCATGAACCTGCAGGATCTGGTCACCGCTTTGATGTTAGCGGAGAACGACAGGGTTTAGTCGAGGGTCACGCAAGGGTTCCTTGCACTCTGGGAGGAGGACACAATGGATTTGTCAACCGTGATGGCGAGATCATGGAGTGGGCAGTCCTTCCCCGGGAGGAAGAGCAGCTCCGTCTTGCCGAGGTTTAGCTTGAGGTGGTGATCCGACATCCACACTGATATGTCCGCCAGATATGCAGAGATGCGATTTGCCACCTGGTTATCAGAAGGGGGAAAGGAGAAGATTAATTGTGTGTCGTCTACGTAGCAATGATAGGAGAGACCATGTGAGGATATGACAGAATCAGGAGATCGGAGGGAGAAGGATTTAGCAGAGGGAAGAGATGATAGGATGGAAGAGGAGAGAGTAGCGGGAGAGAGAGAGCGAAGGTTGCGACGGCACATTACCATCTGAGTAGGGGCAGAGTGAGTAGTTGCAGTGAGATTAGTAGAAGAACAGCATCTAGTAAAGATGAGGTCAAGCATATTGCCTGCCTTGTGAGTAGGGGGGAGGTCAAAAGAGGAAAGGTGTGGAAAGAAGGAGGCAGAGAGAAATGAGTCAAAGGCAGACGTAGGGAGGTTAAAGTCACCCAGAACTGTGAGGGGTGAGCCATCCTCAGGAAATGAACTTATCAAGGCGTCAAGCTCATTGATGAACTCTCCAAGGGAACCTGGAGGGCGATAAATGATAAGGATGTTAAGCTTGAATGGGCTAGTGACTGTGACAGCATGGAATTCAAATGAGGAGATAGACAGATGTGTCAGGGGGAAAAGAGAGAATGTCCACTTGGGAGAGATGAGGATTCCTGTGCCACCGCCGCGCTGACCAGATGCTCTCGGGGTATGCGAGAACACATGATCAGACAAGGAAA